AGATTGGGGAATCGTAGCTCTTTAATTTCCCTGGGGAGGCTGGTGCGAATGAGGTAATAAGTTACTTTTTCCATAGTGTCTGTTTCCACTTTCCCATGCTTCCTGGCTGCCAGATCTCAACCTTTCATCCCCGGGGTGGTGTCTGTCTCTCTGGACAGGCTTGCGTTGACATTTCTTCTGCGTTGTGTTAGGCCAGAGGACTTCACTCTGAGTCCTCATTGGTACTTGAATTGTCATCATAGTATAATTGCCAGCTGTTGTGGTGTTACCTTACAATAACTCTTTTGTCTTTTTGTGTGTCATTGTATTTAGTCTTTTAGCTTTTGATTTTGAGGTAAGTAGGTTTGTAGAAGAGTTGCTGGTGTGTTATAGCATAAGGGTTAATTTTTTTAGTTAACTTGGCAGATGCTGGAGTCACCCAGGAGATAACCCTCTGGGCACATCTGTGAAGGACTGCCTAGACTGGGTTGATTAGCTGAGGTGGGAAGACCCATCCTAAATGTATGGGTCCACCTTTCCGAGGGCCCAGGTCCAAGGCTGCATAGGAAGGAGACAGTGGGCTGAGTCCCAGCGTTCATCTCTCTCTGCTTCCTGACTGTGGGTGTCATGTGACCAGCTTCACACTCCTGCCACCAAGACTTTCTGGCCATGATGCCTCTGTCTTCAAACTGTGGGCCAAAATTGGCTCGGCCATCTTCAGTTGCTGCTGTCGGGGTTGATGACCGAAATGGGAAAGTAACTAATGCGCATACAGAGTTCTCTTACTTTGTCAGCTCCTAGTGCAGTGGCTCTCAGATGGAGGGAGTCTGCCCCAGGGGGACTTTCTGGGGCTCACATCCTGGGGGTCAGGGAATGCTACTGACACCTGGTGGATATGATCCGGGGCTGCTGCTAAATACTCTGTAATGCATAGGACAGTCCCACAGCAAAGAATTGTCAGCTCCCAAGTGTAGTTGTGCTGAAGGCATGCTCTGGTGTTTATGTCAGACATGAACTTGTGTGCTTGTGTGTAGCAAAGAAAGAAACCTTAGCCGCTAACTGCTTAGTAACCACAGATACCATAGCTTCCCACGGTAATCTCTTTCCTGTTGCAGGCTTCTACCCACACCATGTCAGTTAGTGGTTGTGTCCCTAGTCTCTTCAAATCTTTGACAGTTTCTTGGTCTAGACTCGGCTTACATGACCTTGATGTTTTTGAAGCGTAGTGGTGAGGTATTCTCAGAATGTCTCCCCAAATGGATTTGTCTGATACTTTCTCATCGTGGAACTTTGGGGAGTGTTTTCCAGAGTCACACCCTTCTTATTGCACTGTAGGAAGACATGTTGTTTAGGCTGTGCCTGTCGGGACCTTCACAGTCTGTTCCTGAAGACCTGTGCAGTGGAGGCTTTCCTTATGACTGAATCAAATAGGTCAATAAAAGTCTAAATCTTACTCAGATGTAGTTTACATATCTATGTGGTCAAGAGAATGATGTACAGTAGCTGATTTCTGTTTCCGTGGGTGAGTTTATTAAGCCTGTGGAAGAAAGAAGCAGCACAGGAACAGATAGCAAGAGACAGACAGACAGAGACAGAAACACCATCAAGTCAGGACGACTGGAGTAGCCCGATTGAGAGAGCAAACAAAAGATACCATCATCCAACGGGGCTCCAGCACCTGCAGAAACTGTGAGGGAAGCCTGCTGAGGGGGGCAGGCAGAGGCTTCCAGGTAAAGAACAAATAGCACATAGAGACGACATCATTCAGTGGGGCTCACTGCGTCCAGCAGAGACCAGCTGGGGAAGCTGAGACTGTGAACTGGATAATTGGTTGAGAGTCCTTGCAAGAGGCCTTCTCCCACGGCGTGGCTGAACTTGCAGCCTCTCCCTGGGGTGACCACTCGCAGCCTCTACTGGCAATCCCTGGGTTCTGTGCTTTACTCTTGTGTTGTTCTAGTGTCCTCTCCTCTCTTCCACAGTTGTGATCACCCCATTCCTGGACATGAGGTGTTGGAGGACTCATTCAGACAAACATGATTGGTCTGAGTGTGTGTGTGTTTGTGTGTGTGTGTGTGTGTGTGTGTGTGTGTGTGTGTGTGTGTGTGCAATTCTGCTTCCAGAGATCGCTTTTCCTTGAGCTCCAATAGCAGGGCAGTTTACCAGTATGGTGTCCATTACTTACCTGTGGTGGTTTGAATGAGAAAGGCCCTGTGGGTTCATATACTTGATGCTTGGTCACCAGGGAGTGGAAAGATTTCAGGGATCACAAGGTGTGGCCTTGCTGGAGTAAGTGTGTCTGTCACTGGGGGTGGGCCTTCAGGGCTCAAAGGTCCAGTCTCTCTCTTGACCTATGGATCAAGTTGTCCCTCTCAGCCGCTATTCTTGTGCTGGTTCCCCACCACGATGACACCAGACTAGACCCCTGAAACTGTAACCAAGTCCCCAGTGCAATGCTTTCAAGTTCCATCTATCAAATTGATAGATTTTAATGTGTTTACAGAATTGTGTACATTCTGCAAAGAATTTTGAAATTTTCTTGCCGCCTCCAAAAGAAACTGTTGCCATGAACAGTTTCTGCTCAGTGACCTCAGCCTTCCCATTAACCTGTTCATTCCCTCTCCACTCCCTAGCAGCTCCAGTCATGTGCTTTGTGGGCTTTTGTGGCTTCCTCATTCAGCTTGTTTCCAAGGCTCATCCATGTTGGAGAACACACCAGCTCTTCATTCTGTTGACCTGCTTGGCAACTAATAATTATTTGGGTTGCTTTCAGCTTTTCCCCGTTTGAATAGCATTGCTGCACTTATTTGCAAACACTTTGAAAGCTAGGCCTGCGTGTCTCTTTTATCAGATATTTTCTCCAGTCTGTGATTTGCCTCTCCCACCCCCTTCACAGTGTGATTTGGGGAAATAGTGTTTTATTTCAATGACATTTTAAAATTACTTATTTTCTTTATGGTTTGTATATTTTGAGGCTTCAGAAATATTGCCAACCACAGCTCACATAGCCTTCCCCCACCCCCCCTGGATTCCTTTTCTTTTCAGGACTTTTTTTTAATGGTAATGAGCTCAGCATTAGCCTTCTAATGCATTTTGTATTAATCTCTGTGCATGGCATGAGGTGAGAGTTGGGTTACTTTTTCTCCCAGTGTCTGTCCATTCCAGCACTTTTTGAAAAGGCCCTTTTCTCTCGGTTGACCTTTGTAAAAATTCATCGGTGATGTGTGTGTGCGGTCGGTCGGTCCTGTTTCTAGACTCCTACTGTGACTTTTTTCCTTGCAGCTTTACTGACTTTTTACTCTGTAGCTTGAAGCTGTCTTATTTAATATATAGATGCTTAGGGTTATTATATCTTCTTTGTAAGTTCACCCTTTTATCACTGTGAAATGACTTTATCCCTGGTGATATTCTGTCTAAAATACATTTTGTGTGATAATTGAGGCGGCTACCCTAGCCCTCTTCTCCTGGTGTTAGTTTTTCACTTTAAATGTATTTACATATGTATATTAGAGTGTGTTTCTTGTTAGCAGTATATAGTTGGATCCTTGTTTACTATAGAAGCCTTGGTGTTTTAGCTGTAATGTTTGGAGCATTTTTGTTATTTGTACTCACTGGTGCTAAAGCTGACATCTTCCTGCTTGAGCTCATTTGTTATGATTATTTTCTGCTTTAGGTCTTTATCTGCCTCCTCTTGGTTTAATGAAATTCTTATGAATTTAGTTTGTTTTAATAGTTTATTAATTATAATTTATTGTTTTGTTATTTTATTGGCCATCTCAGCGTTTAACTTATTAGTGATATTTCTCTACTTCACAGTGTAATAAAATTACATTAGTATGCTCTCTTTTGTTTGTCTTTGTGCTATTTTGTATTCCATTTTACATGTATGCATATACATACACATATGTGCTATAGATCCATTATCAGTTATAAATTCATTTTCAGTTTTCCTTTTTTTTTTTTTTTTTTTTTTTTTTCGGTTTCTCAAGACAGGGTTTTGTTGTGTAGTTCTGGTACTAGCTCTGTAGACCAGGCCGGCCTCGAACTTACAGAGAGCCACCTGCCTCTGCCTCCCCAGTGCTGGGATTAAAGGTGTGTGTGCCACCACTGCCAGGCTAACAGTTGTTTCTTAAAGAGGTTTAAACAATGAGATAAATCTTTATATGTGGTCATCATTTATGGTGCTTTTTTATTCATTTATGTAAATTTGGATTTCTACCTAGTGTCATTTCTCATATTTCAATTTTTTTAATGTTTAATTAAGCATTTATTCATGATTCCTTGTCTAGAGTAATTCATGTTGCCTTCCTGGGTTTGTAGGCCTGCTCCTTGGGTTAACTTTAATGTTTTTCCCTGGTGTCTGAGATGGCTACAAAACATGTCTTTAGGGCTGCAGTAGAATCCCATCTCTACAGCCCCATGGTGAGAGCTTCCTGGGATTGGCATGTGCTGCCTGCAGCCTGCGGAAGGCTTGCCTAGGCCTCGTGTGGCTCTTGGGCTGCAGGCGGGCTCATTGCTGGGCGCAGTGACCGTTTTCCTTTCCTTACATAGTTGCTTCCACTGGCCCTACCCTTCACCTTTTGTTGTTTTGACCAAGGCCTACGTAGTGAGTCTGTGCTCCCTCAAAGGAGGTGTTACGGGTCCATCCTGTGTAAGTCATCACATGGGAGATGGGAGAACAAACCAGCAGATTTGGGGAAGAGCTCTGGTTAAAGCGGTCCCTCTAGACTTCTGTGTGCCTGTGGTCCCTCATTCCCCAGACTGTGAGGGACCAGCAGGTACTCTCTGGGCCTCCCCCTCCCCCACTAACCCAGGGGAAGAACCAATATGTGAAGGAGGATAAGGAATTTGCTGCCAAGTTTGTCCTTGCTGCCTGGCTGTGGGAGACAGTCCCAGTTCCTGGGGGGCTTCTATTGGCCTCTCTGATGCCCCTCCTCCTCTGAGCTCAGTACCTATAACGTGGCAGGCACCCTTTAGTCAGCACCTGCCAGGTAACGACCGGGTGGGTGCTTCTGTCTCTATAGTCAGATTGTTGCCAGAGGACTACTGGATGTCTTCCGGGATGTCGGCTGCAGTGACAAGGACGCCCTGGCGGTGATGGAGGTGGCTGTCCGACTGTCAGAAGATGCAGGTTTGTTCAGTTTTGTACCTTTTTTCCACTTGTACATTTCTTAAAAGTTATATGCTACAAGTACTAGCTACAGTGTAAAGGCCTTCACGTTAATCAGTGAGCTTTGGGCAGTGTCAGACCGTGGATGGATTTTTGTCATGAAGAACAGACGTCTTACTTGAGAATGACTCAAATTGTCCTTATTTTTGGAACATCAGAGTGACTAATGTGACAAAGGCCATTTGCCCTGGCAGTTAGGCCTTTTGTATTTCTTGAGTTTTGCCAGAGTGCTGGTTGCTAAGAAATACCCAATCAGAAGCACTCGTCTGGATTAGAACAATCCAGTCATTAGTTTCTCTCCCCTGTGATCTCTGTGGCCTGATGTTGATTTTGCCTGTTCTTTCTGCCTCCCTGTGATTGCTATTCTGGAGGAAAGCACTGGGCAGCACAGCAGGAGCTCTGGCGTTGCCCGTCTCCCCCCTACCCCTGCCACACACAGTAAAGACAGGGAAGATGAATGGTGGGCTTGCCAGGCCTGACAGCCGCCCTGCAGCCCCCTCCCTGCACTCATAATGAATGGCGAGATGCTTCAGAAAGTTCCAGAAACCTGAGGCCCTAGAATCTGATCATTTTAGCTGAAGACAGAAAAAGAAGCCTCCATATAGCTCTCATATTAGTTTAAAATATTCATATGGATGTGACACAACGCTTTTAAAAAGGCCCAAGTGGATGTTTTGAGGCTTTGAATGGGTTCTCTTCGTAACTGAATCACCATTTACAGTGCTGTGGCAATTATATATTTGTGTTAAAGTTAATGTGGTGTACTGGAGCTTGAGCGCTCTTTTGTTTAATGCTTTGCCTTGGAAATAATTGGGATGCGTGGATTGTGGGGGAGTGCATTTGTGAAAGAATTATTTATAATGTATACATCCCGGCTGGAATTTAAATAAGCACAGCCCATAGGTCTGACAGCGAAGCCATTAGCTGTAATGGCTTTTGGTCGCTGGCCCAGCATGCAGACTTCTTGGTCCTTTCTCCATTTGTATATGGCTTGTTATAATAGAGTTGTCAGCCTCTCTTCCTTTTATGCTTTTATATTGCTGTGTGGCTTACTAGCTTTTTAAGCCTGTCTGTAGCATAAATACTCTAAATGGGAAATGATTTTTAAACTGCATTTGTCTAATTTTCTTGATGAAGTATTTTAGTAAGAAAAGCTAGAAACCATTAGTATATACCATGTCAGATGCTTGGCTTCTTCTTATATAACTTCCTGTCCCAATGCTGCAGAGCCCACGGTGCGGACTGAGCTGATGGAGCAGATCCCTCCCATCGTCGCTTTCTTGCAAGAAAGCAGGTTGGACTTCCCTGTGGTGGTCTCCCAGCACCTCGTGCCTGTGATAGTGCGGTACCTCTCCGATGCAGACAAGCAGGTGTGAGCACGCCCACCTTGAGGTCTCAACAGCAGACTCTCCATTCATCCACAGCCCAGGAAAGGCCTGGGTAGAGTTTAACTGCACGAAACAGATCCCTTTCATCTCATGGGAAAGACAGACTCTGTTCCTTCCTTCTGACAAGAGCTCTTCTCTCAAACATGCCAATGGACAGAGTAAAAGTGGGGTTCATGAGCCTCCGCTGTTTCATTAACACTTGACGAGTTGGTTCCCGTTTATCGTACCCAGACAGACTCTGTCACAAAGGAAAGTGGTTGGCGACACCACATCACTTCAGCCATCCACCCTTTAGCATGGCTCTCCAAGAGATAAAGGGCTGAGGGTGTAGGTCAGTGGTAGACACTTGCCTAGCATGCACAGTGTCCTGCATTTAGTCCTTAGCATGGCAAATATATATATATATATATATATATATATATATATATATATATATATATGAGAGAGAGAGAGAGAGAGAGAGAGAGAGACATACCAGCATTTTAAAACTTACCGTTACTTATTTGACCCAACCTGCTCTGCCGGTTAGATTGTCCGAGTTTCCATCAGTGTGTGTTCTGGTTGGGTCTCTTGTTTTTGAGGCCAGCTGGGCACATGGGCTTGCTTAGGTCTCTGAAGCTTGTGAGAACTGTGCCTCTGTCCCCTTCTCTTCTCGCCGTGTATTACTAAAGAATCTGGGACTTTTGTTCTGTTGACTCCCGTCCCGGGGGGACAGTTCCCTCCTCTTCTACAAACTGGGCATTGAGTCTAGAGGTTGTTTTTCTGTTCCCACAAGGGAACCTCTGAGCTGAGAGCTCCCTTGTGTGTCAAGTCAGGAAGGGTAGGAGCTCTGGGAGCATCTTGGCCTGCTGCTGGACCTGGCTCCTGGGTGGGTTGCCATCTGAGCTGGATGCAGCCGTGGGTAGTCCTCACGAAGAACTGGCTTCTTGGAGGCTTTATGGTTTGACACTTGGATTGTGACGTTCATTGCTCGTTGGTGTAATGCCCACAAGTCTCTAGTGAAGAGCTTTCCTACTAGCTGTTTGAGAGAATGCTTACTCCATAGGAAGACAACATCAGTTCATCTCTTCTTCCTTTATTTACCGGTTTCCAGGAGAATCAGTTGGCATCCTCTATCATCTACAGATGGCCACTGAGATACTGAGACTCTTACACTTGGTTGGCTGTCAGAGTTACTGAGACCAGCTAGGCTTTAATGTGATGCCTGTTCGTGTTCCAGTCATTGTGGTAATTGTTTTTTTTTTTTTTTTTTTTTTTTTTTTTGATAATTGAGTTGTCTTCCGTTCTGGCTTGTGGGAGCTATTATTCTAGAATCTTCCTGATATATCTAGTGGACTTGGACAGTTTACCTCTAGCTGGAACTGACAGGGCCCATGCTCCTTTACTGGGGAAATGAGAAACCGGATCATGGGTACCAGGATGCTCCTAGCTGTGAGCTCAGTCATTGCTTCTAGTGATACCAGTTTTTAAAAATAAAATCCCTCCCTAGTTTATTGGTGTACCCAACTCATATCAATTCACCTCAGTTCATATCATCAGTTCATATCAGGACTGGTAGGGCTTTGACTTTACTTTCCTATTTTAGCTTCTCTTTTCACCTTGTACAGTGTAAGTCTCATGTGGTAGTTGACATGGATTTTGTGTTTAACCCACATCACTGTGTGTGTGTGTGTGTGTGTGTGTGTGTGTGTGTGTATGTGTGGTGCTGGTGTGCGTGTGTGTATGTGGTGCTGAGGTGTGTGTGTGGGTGTAGTGCTGGGGTGTGTGTGTGGTGTGTGTGTGTGGTGCTGGGGTATGTGGGTGTGTGGTGTGTGTGTGTGGTATGTGTGTGGTGTGTGTGTATGTGTGTATGTGTGTGTGGTGCTGGGGTGTGTGTGTTTTGTGTGTGTGGTGTGTGTGTGTGTGGTACTGGGGTGTGTGGTGTGTGTGTGTGTGTGTGTGTGGTGCTGGGGTGTGTGTGTTTTGTGTGTGTGGTGTGTGTGTGTGTGGTACTGGGGTGTGTGGTGTGTGTGTGTGTGTGGTGCTGGGGTGTATGTGTGTGTGTATGTGGTGTGTGTGGTGTGTGTGTGTGTGTGTGTGTGTGTGGTGTGTGTGTGGTGTGTGTGTGTGTGGTACTGGGGTGTGTGGTGTGTGTGGTGTGTGTGGTGCTGGGGTGTGTGTGTGTGTAGGTGTGTGGTGCTGGGGTGTGTGTGTGTGTGGTGTGTGTGTGGTGTGTGTGTGTGTGTGTGGTGTGTGGTGTGTGTGTGTGTGTGGTGCTGGGGTGGACCCAGGGCCTCCTGCTTGCTTGGTGTGCATTCACCAATGAACGAGCTGTACCTTCACCCTTGTTTTGCTTCTTTGGGTCTACGTTGCCCAGCCTGGCCTTGAACATTGGATCTTCTTGCCTCTGCCTCAGGTAGCTAAGGAATAATCATACCATACTAGCCTGGCTGGCTTTTGTCTGGTGTGTTGTTTGTTAATTTTTGAGGTTGTGTTTTAACGACATCATCTCTCCCTTCCCTTTCTTCCCTTCAAACCTTCCCTTTACTTTCCCTACTGTCCTTCAAACTCATGGCCTCCTTTTTCAGTTGTTATTTATTGCATGTGTTCTTTGTAGATACATACATACACTCCCAGACAATCTGTTGAGTCAATACACTTCTGCATTTTTGAGGCAAGGCTCACCATGTTGCTCAGGCTCCAGAGGTCCTTCTGCCTCTGAGCAGCTGCTCTCCTATGACTGACATATTTATACTCCAGAGAAGCAGAAGCTTCTACATTTGACTCTGATGCATTGAAAATGTTCACCCAATTCCCAAACTACAACGTATTGTATTTAGAGGGGTCTGATTTTCCTCCCTCCCTCCCTCCCTCCCGCCCTCCCTCCCTCCCCAGCTCCCTCTTCTGGGGCTGCTTCTTCGAGCAGCATCCATCTTGCTGCTCTCCAGACAGTGAGCGCCCCGTGTTCTGCACCCTGGCCTTTGTCAGGTGGCTGTGCCTCCTTCTGCTTCCCTCATGTTGTATGCCCTGTGCTCGGGGCAGTGGCTCAGCGTGGGTCTCGCTCCAATTTCCTACAGTATCAGCCTCTGAGGTTAGGGACAGCACATACACTGTTGGACACTGGGGAGACTTCTGGTCTTTTGAGCTTGTGACATTGTTGAAGGGGTCAGGGAGACTGTTCGGGGCCTGTCACGCAGTGTGCTCATCATGAAAACCTCATGACCCAAGTTCAGTCTCTGGAACCCTGTGAAGAGGTTTGGTGCAATGGAGTACACCTTTAATTGTAGCATGGTGGGTGAGACACAAGAGGCCGCAGAAACTCAAGGGCTCTGTAGCCAGGGTGACAGCCCAGCGACAGACACAGGCCTCTAAAACAGGGTCAGAAGAGAGAACCAACTCCTGAAAGCTCTTTCACACAAATGCCATGGAATTCATGCACCCATGTACACACACGCACGCACACGCACGCACACTCAACGCACACAGAGAGATGGGGGTGATGCCTCCGTCCTTTGAATTTGTGTATTTCAGCAATGACTTTCTGTAAAGGGTAAAAATGTTTTCATTTTTAATGATATACCATGTTTAGATTACCACTATTTTCAAGAAATTCTAAACATTTAGATTGTGTTTTTTCTTGATCTGACGTTCATTTTTAACTGTTACACGGTGTGACAGGGTGCAATGCAGTCTTCACATAAAGAAAAAGCCATCCTACTTCCACTTTCCTGCCATGGGTATTTTGATTATCTTTGCATTTTCTCCCACTCGAGTCTGATCATAACGCGGGGCGGCTTCCTCCATTCGTCCATTTGTTCTGACAGTTTCTGAGTGCCCATTACGCGCAGAGCCTGGTGTGTTGTGCCTGGGGATGAAGAGATGAACAGGACATATTTCTGCCCTCAGCAAGCTCATCTGAGGGCCACAGACATTCTCTGTTTCATCATCTCCACTCGTTTGAATTTTGTTGTGTGTCCCATCTTCAGCTCGGCATGTACTCTGAGTGTACTGTGAGCTGTGCAAGCATTCACGGCGTGAGCACCCGCGGCGTGAGCACCCCCTTTGTTCTTCTATTGACTTTTCTTTCTCTTTTGATGAATTCTTGAAAATGAGAGACTGTCCAGGGGTTTGACTTCTTCCGGACCTCTGGCACCTGTCCTTATCATCTATTTTGTTCCAGGGCCTTTGGCTCCACAGCCCATCTTGTCTGTGTGTGTAGACCTCTGTTCTGAGCCATGCTCCCCTCCCACCCTCTCAGATTCATCTCCATGTTCCTGCCCTTTGGTAGTTCTGCCACCTTGGCTCTGGCTGGCCAGGACCAGCCTGGCCTCTTCCTGTCTTGCCTGCTGTGCTGTCTGCTGAGGGTGTCCTGGCATGCATTGATTGGCGCCATTGGGAATTTATGGGCTCCAGTTGCAGCTAGATGTGCAGTACCGCCTAGCAATCCTTCCACGTCCCTCGTCAGCTGCTTTTCCCATTACCCTTGGCAGTTCGCTCCCTCAGACCTTTGCCGCTTTCGTCAGGCCCTCACCTTGTCCTGCCTTCCGCCAAGCAAGTGACCTTGCCTTTTACATCACAGAGAAAATAGAGGCCTTCAATCTTCATCCCCTATTGCGGTGAACAGAACCGCCATCTGAGATATTCAATTCCCCTGAGCCATGGCCTGGGAACTCTGGAAACCCTTCCCCCTCCCCTCCCCTCCCCTCCCCTCCACATCCAGTCAGACCCAGGCCAAGTCCCCATTCCAAGTCCCCATCGTTTCCATCTTAAATGCTTAAGCCCAAAGGCCCCTCCTCTCCCCCGCCCTTCTGTCTTCCACCCCTTACCACCACCTTAACCTCCCGAGGGTCTGCTCACTGGAGCCAGCCTGCTCCTCCCAATGCGCTCCCCCCTCCCCTCCCCTCCCCTTCTTCCTCTCCCCTCCCCCTCCCTTCTCCTCTCTTCATCTACCTCATAATCAGGTACTGACTCTTTGAAAGTATGCAGTGGGCTGCTGGCAGTGCCCAGAAGTCTTAGTCGGTCAGGGTTCTAGCAGAGACAGTGGTTTTGCCTCAGCCTGGATTGTGCCTTATTCTGCCAGATCGATGAGCCTGCTCTCGGGCAGGAACTTGTTAACCAGCCACAGAGGTGAGGAGTGTCCCTGCAGCCGGGGTAGTTCCCAAACCCTGCCGCTGCGCTCACACACCGTGGGCTGCCCTGGACAATAGGTATTGTGTGCCAGGTCTGCTGTGGGTGTTTCCGGCACTGTCCCACCAGCCTGGGGACCATGCAAGTGGCGTTCAATCCACCATTCTGTGTCAGATGGGAGGAGGCTGAGGTGTGGGAAATGAGGCTGTGGCTGGGCGTCAGGCCTGGTTCCCGAGCCTCATTTGTCTGGCTAGGAATCGCCCAGGCTCTTCTGTGAGCTTCTTGCCTGTCATCAACTCCAGGGCTTTCACAGTAGGACCCTTTGTGACCTCGCCCAGGGTCTGAAGTTCTGTGGTTCTGGGAAGCTTAACCTCTGTCCTCAGCAGGCCTCACCCATGCCTGGCCCAGCTGACCGCGTCTTCCAAAGTCGTGTTTTACTCTGCCTCCCCTCAGCTTGTGCTGGTCCTGTGCCTCAGTTCCCCTCCTCTTTGCTTCCTGGCTTTCACCCCATTCCCCGCAGCTGATCTTGAAGGGGAATCTGTTGCAGCCCCCACCTGCTCCCTCCGCCTGGGCCTCTGGCCTGGAAGCTGGTAGACATGGAGCTGTTTGGCCTTGAACTCAGCTAATCAGCTCATTTGGAAGATTCAGGACTCTTGTTTTAAAAACACTTTCAATTTTAAAGTTATCTTGACAGATTTAATCACTTGAGAGAAGGACCATAAAATAAACACACATCTCACTCCCCCCCCCCCCCCCCCCCCCGTGTGTAAGTGTTTGTGGTTTTGCTTGGCAGCCCTTTGCTTTTGATGCTGAGGTTGCAGTAGTGGTTCCAAGCGCTCTGTACCCCTCTCCTGCTGCAGAGTGTCACCACCCTTTACATGCCGCTTGTCACAGTCACCCCACGTATGAGAGTGGCTCTGAGTGGGAAGTTAGCACATCACGTAGACAGAGTGGTTGTGCTCTCTGGGCCATGGTAGCTTGCTCCTCAGTGGTCGGCCGTCAGACGGTCTGCGTAGTGCTCAGCTGTTCACGGTAAGTGGCTTACCAGTGCATTCGTGCGCCCAGGGATTGGAACCGGAATGCATGTCAGTCACTTCCTGCCGCTCCACCCAGATGGCGTGAAGGAAAAAGGACAGGAAGTGTCCCTTGACCCTGTCAGGCCCTAGGCTGGGGCTTCTGCACACATAGCTTCCTGTGCTCTGGCCAGGGTGACTTTGGGGATAGCCACAGCTAGTATCCATTCGGGCACTGTGTGTCCTGACTGCTGTCCTCAGCTCTTTGCACCCTGGGAGGCTTATGTCAGTTCTCTAGGGTGGCTTCAAGGTGGCACCGAAGTGTATGCAGATGACTACTTTAGCTTTTACTCTCGTTACTGCATTCAACCACTTACCTGAGTTACGCAGCACTGTGCTATTAGATTGGGTTATTGTAGGCGATCTTGTCCAGCTGTTATTAACGTAATCACTCAGCACATTTGACATTGGCCAGGCTGTTAGTAGGTTGGATGTAGTAAATGCATTGCTTGTTTGCTTGAGTTGAGATATGGTCTCAACTGTAGCCCGAGCTGGACTGGACCTCACAGTGACCCTGTCGCTTCATCATCCCAGGTGCTGGGATAACGGATGTGAACGTCTTATCTTTTGTTTTGCTTTGGGGTCCTATTTGTTTGTTTCCTTTGAGGCAGGGTTTCTTTGTGTAACAGCCCTGGCTGACCTGGAACTCACTCTGTAGACCACAGAGACCAGACTCCTGTACCTGGCCCTCCTTTTCCTACTCTGCCTGCCCCTTTTTCTCTCTTTTTAAATGTTTTATTTGTTTTGGCTGTCAGCAGCCACCTTTTGCTTCTGTGACCTTTCTAGGTAATTGCTTTCCTTAGGTGGCCAGTGCTCCCCCACATCCCTCTCTTCTCTGTCTGCAGGGCCCAGAGTTCCTTACCCATGCTTTTCCAGTCTTGCGCATCCTTTGGATCCACCACAGGGTCCTGTTCTGTTATCACCACTCATGCCAAAGCATGATCTTGTTACTTCCATGCTCTTAAGCCTTTGGTGGCACTCACTGGTAGGTGCTTTGGTCCCCAGAGGTCTTAGTGACAGCCTTCCCTGGGCTCACCCTCAGCTCCTGTTCCATGCAGTTCCCCTTGCTTCTGTCACCTGGTGCCTGTCACCAACCTGATTTCATCTGCTCTGCGAACCTGAAGTCCCCTTTCCCCTTGCTGCTGGTGTATTGGTTTTCCCTGGCGGCTATAACCAAGTACCAGGGACTCTCACAGTCTGGCAGCCAAGTGTCGCCAGGGTTGGGCTTGAGCTCTGAGGAGAACCCGCCCTCTCCTGTGCGGCTGCCTGTGCCTGTGTCACTTGATGCCTCCCCTCTAAGTACTTCTTCACATGCTCTCCTCTCCTCTTCCTCTTGTTAATACACACTTGTGATGACATTAATGACCACTGTGCTCATCCTGGCTGACACCAGTCTCCTCAGTCACAGCTTCAAAGACCCCTTTTAAAGAGCATTAGTGGCCGTCACTATGTCATGACACCAGAGAACCTGGTTTCCAAGAGGAAATATTGAGCCAGGTGGTGGTGGCCCGTGCCTTAGTTCCAGAGGCAGAGGCAGGTGGGTCTCTGTGAGTTTAAGAACAGCCTGATCTACATCTTGAATCCCAGGACAGCCAGGGCTACACAGAAAAACCCTCTTTCGAAAAACAAACAAGCAACCCCCCCAAAAAACAAAACAAACAAAACCAGGAAAGATACGTTTGGCTCCTGGGTTCAGAAGTTTTGCCCCGTGGCCAGTTGGCTCTGTTGCTTTGGGGCCTGTGTGGAGTAGATTTTGTACCGGGGAGCATGGGAATCGCTGGAGCTCAGCTCATTCATGGTGGACAGGAAGCAAAGAGGGAGCCCAGAAAAGACCCAGCGGCCTGGTTTCCTGGTTTTCTTCTGCTCCCCACCCCTACCCAAAGGTTCCCCCCATCTCCCAGCATCGCCCCAGGCCAAGGACTGAGCCCTACAGCTCGTGGACAAGATCCAGACTCCAGCATCTATAGCTACATGTTCCAGAGATTGACATAGAGATATCTTTGGGGAGCACCAAGCTACTTGGCAGCTCCTCTCTTCGGATACCCGCCTCCATGTCTCCTGTCGCCACTGTGACTGTCCAGTTTCTGCCGCCCTTTCTGTCTGACCATGTCCCCACTGTGCTCCATGTGTCCTTAGTGGTCACCTGTGAGTGTTCTTCCTAGTGCGTTCCATGTGTACTTGATGCCACCCCCAGTGGGCATTATCTGTCCAGCCTGCCCAGAATTGTTTCTGTGTCTCATGCCCTGCTTGTGTCCTAAGCTGCTGGCACATGCCAGCTCCTCAGTCAGTTGACACCTGAGTCATCGTAGCAGGACCCAGTCTTGTCACCACCTTTCTTGATGCCGTCAGGTAGTGGGGCCTCATCCGTCCCAGCTGAGCTCTGCGCCGCATGCCTTGCTGGTGTTCTGTGTGTGCCTCTCATCGCCTGCATCTCTCTTGCAGTACTGCTCTTGGAGCACTGTTTCCCTGCACTTGGATCAGGAGTCCGGGTGTCATGTAGCCCTTGTGGCTCTAGATTGGGGCTTGCCCTCTTGTACCTGCTATGGGCTGATCATGGGTGACAATGTCTGTTCACTTCTGGGGCCCATTATGATTTTGTTCCCTTCCTCTCCTGACAGTGAACTACATATTTCATTGACCTCTCTATAAATGGGAATTTCAGGTGCTTTCGTTTCCCAAAAATACGCTTCTTTAGCTTCTTTTGGTCCCTTTACACCCTGGTGTTGGCTCACTCTGCGATGACCAAGGACGAGAGGCCTCTCGTTTCTGTAGCGTTCTCTGCCATGGTAAGGCTCTTCCAGACACTGCTCGGGCCTTGTGTATGGTGGGTCAGGCTTGCGAAGGAGCAGGATAGATCCTGGCTTTCATTCCGACACCTGTGCCACCAACAGGGCAGCCGTGCATCCATTCAATAAGCCCTAACAGACTGGGTGTGGTGCTTGTGCTGAGAATGTACTGAGAACAAAGGTACTGCCCTCCAGTCCCACCCTCTGGGAGACACACGACAATTATGAGTCATACACCAAAAGAAATGCACATATGGGAAGGATGCTTACACCAGGAGACAGGGGCCCCTCAGGAAGTGGAGCGAGGGTAGACGTGGAGGAAGATGGAGGGCCACCCGGGAGGGGTTGTCCCCACCCTGAAGACAGCATGGACCCATCTTCTATTCCCCTTCTACCATTTTCCCTCCAGGTCAGAAAATCCAGCCAGGAAGTACTGCTGGCTCTTCTGGAGCAAGACCTAATTTCCCAGTGTGACGTCGAAGGCAAAGTGTGCCCTGTTCTGCTGGAGCGCTCTGGCCCTGACCGCGATGATGAGTGCCGAGCAGAGGCCATAAGCGTGAGTCTTCCTGGGAGTGGGTGGCTTGCGCGCCTGGTGGCTAAGGTGGGACTTGAATTCTCATAAGAGCTGGACTTGGGCCAGTACCATTCCCTGAGTAAGGTGACCAGGGTTCATTCAGGGGAGCTCCTCGCCTGTTTGTAGACATGCTCATTCTTGGAGCACCAGGGCTGGAGAAGTCCCAAGCAGCTGAGTGTCACCAGCCACTAACTCAAACCGCTGCTGGGCAGGGTGCCTGTTCTCACAGGGAAGCTCCTCGGCCTGGTGGATTGGGCCTTGAGTCTCAAAGTCAGGGCCCGGGAATAATATGTGAGATAATGTTAGGCCGTCAAAAAGTCTTCCATACACCTAATGTCTTTTGTAAATGACCAGAAGGTGTGTAAGCAGTACGGACACCCTGACAAGTGGGCGTGACCTCACTTGCAGGAGCAGAGGCGGATGGACTCAGCAAACTGGCCTCCCATGTTGGTTTCCCTGTGGCATCCGGTTGTGTTGGGCTGCATGTACTAGTATGAAGGGAGTGTGTAGTAGCCACGGCTTCCTCACTCCCCCTCATTTGATGGTGAGCAGAGCTGGGATCTGCTGGACTTGCCCACTGCCACAGCCTAGCCATGTTCCTTATCTGCGATCGGGGACCGCCATGAGCCATCTCATTTCCTTCGCTGTTGACCCGTGCAGATGAGGCTGTGCGCTTGACCCTCTCTGTGAATTGCAGTTCAGAGCTGCAGGATTGGTTTTGGGAAATATTTTTTGCATAAAGGGTTTTAAAATCCTAAGCTTGGACGATGAATGCTGGGTGAACAGATAGTTGTTTTCATGGAATGAAATTTTTTTTTTCTTCCCAAAGTGCAAAAGCATTATATGCCATGTAGCTAAAAAATTATATTGCAGCATTAGAACATTTGGCAATTATTCTTCATTTATGTAAAAGTTTTTTTTTTCAACTATGCGTTAAAGGTCTGGATTTTTAAACTAATTTAATTTTTTGCATATTCCATATGTTTATAAGATGAATCAGTCTGAGGAATAATTGATTATTAAAATTCAAATTCTCCAGGGTTCTTTTATAAATTTCAAGTTTCTCTACAAGAAATTTAATTTACTTTGCAAACTAAACCTGGATAATAGCATTTAGCCGGGGTGTTTGGCAGTTGAGCAGTGAACTTTGCCAAGTAGATCTTCTTTTTCATTTGGAAGTTGGTCCGGCGAGTTTCCAAGGTTACAACTGGCAGCCAAGTATCTTACCCCAAAGACTGGTAATGCCACAGAGAATAAGCTGAAGAAATTTCTATAGAGTTTTTGTTTTGTTTTGTCTCCAAACACTCCATTCCTGTCAGTGGTGTCCACCCACCCACTCCCCCACTTTTTTTTTTTTTTTCTTTCTTTTTTTCTTCTTGGTAGAACTATTTGGAAAATATAACAAGCCTTCCAGAAACAATTCCCACAGGCCATTTTCGGAAGGAATTGGTTTCTGGTTTGTGACTTGAAGCCCTACTATGTACACCCAGACCAGTTCCCCAGCTCTGACCGCTCGTGTGTGTCTGGAGGATTTGCTTGCCTTCCCATGGGTCCCCACAGGAGTAGGAGATGGTGTTCTTTGGCCCAGCTGTGATTTGAACCCACTCTTCCCCTGGAGCCTGGAAGTTAGGGGGCCCTGGAAACCCAGAACCGTGGGGCTGGCTTTTCAGCTGGGAAATGACAAAGTATGTGGCACGTAGGTACTTTTGTGTGTTGTGGAGCTCCCTGAGGAAAATGTTGTCTGGGTCAGTGGGCAGCACCCCAGATTCTGTGGTACCAGCCTGTGTTTGTTAAGAAAATATTTAGGAAGCCATTGGCTTGCAGGGTGATGGAAGTAGATGGGGCTGGGCAGTGCCCTCGGCATTCTGGACTCTCTTTTCAGCCTTGTGTGTGAATGTTGTGACATCTGTATATACAGAAGCACACACCAACTCAGACGGAGGCTGTTCTGCAGGAAATGGCCTGTCACACGGATAACACACACGTCTGTCCCTTCCTCGGCTTCCATTGGCACTGGGAGTCCCCGTCAGTCACTTCTGATTTTCAGAGATTAAGGTGCCTGCATGATTGGGACCGTTAGCCAGCCTACTGTACCAGTTAGACAGCGTAGCCTTCCTGTGGGGACAAGGCTCCATTCTTGGTTCATCATATTCCTTTGCTGACGTCTTTCCAGACACCTTGATCTCTGTTAGCGACACCTTCCTGTCTGTGATCACAGACTGCTATGTGTCCATCTCCTTTCATTAGCAGTTGAGTTATGAAGTCCCATTTACCTATCCCTTGAAATAGTGAGCTCTGACCTGGGGTCACTGTGGCCTCAAACCACCAGCACCCAACACAAGGCCAAGCTTAGAGTCAGTACCCAATAAATGTTAGTTGTTGGATGAATGGATTGGTGAAAACTGTGAGTGCTGTATCTTGTAATTATATCTCGACAGGATAAACAGGCCACTGGAGACCAATTATAATTCCTCTTGCTTGCAGGGAGGCCATTAGCATTCTACGATGATAACTAATTGTCAGAAGCCTGTTTTTCTCTCTCACAGGAAGGCTTCCTCATTTTTTGTCGTCATCCTGATTTTGAGCTCACTTTTATCTGTGCATTTATTTAAGAAGAATGCTGTGGTGGGCTATAAGCAATAGTTGGTTCCAAGCAACTCGGTGAAGATGGTCATTCCACACAAGTGCTGCCCAGGGCTGCTGGAAACTGCCGGAATGTCGTTTCTTGTCGCTGTGTGCTGCCTTTTAATGATTCTGGATTTGTCTTATATGGTGTAGTAATAAGGTCATGTGGGTGTGGTGGACGAGGAGGAGTGGAAAGAGATACAGGGAGCTCTTTAGTTGCCCGTTGCCCTGGATACAGAGGTCTCCCATCCTCATTTACTGTGGCTGTCCCTGTGCACTCTGCTAGGCATTGCATCAGAAGCAGGTGTCCTCAGAGTTTGAAGACACAGGCCTTTTCCTGATTTGTGTTCTGGGCTTGGATTACCCTTCCCTCACCCCAATTAGGTTTCTGTGTGCTTCTTTCTGCCCCTCTCTCCCCTTCTCTTGTCTGTGTACAAATTCTCAGCAGAGTAATGGCTATATTACCCACCCGGAATTTTTTACTGTACTACAGCAATGCTGTGTCCCTGAGAGACAGAGCCTGGAGACAGAATGTTTGTCCTTCTTCTCTCCCTCCCTCCCTCCCTCCCTTCCTCCCTCCCTCCCTCCTTTCCTTTCTTCCTTCCTTCCTTCCTCCCTCCCTTCCTTCCCTCTGCTTCTCCCCCCCCCCCCCCCGTTTACTTATTTTGGGATATTCTTTCTAAAGGGGGTAGCTTTTATTCTGTTTAAATTTCAAGCTTGGCAGAAGAGTTATGTAAACATGCACTCCTCTGCACCCTTGTCCTCACACTTCTCTAGTAGCTTCTCATTTCTATTTGTGTTGCTCTTTCTTTTCTGTTTATACACCTATGCATATGTGTGCACAGACACTGTGTAAAGCATCAGTGCGCGCGCGCACGCGCACGCGCACACACACACACACAGAGCCGTTTGAGAAGGGGTTGGAGACATAGTTACTTTATACTGAAAGGCTCTAATGTGTGTTTCTAACGCAAGGAAGGTGTTGAAGAAGCACAGCACAAGGGCAAAAGTCAGAACATTTAAGTGAGTGCTGACGGCCCCATCCTTCCATCACATGTCTTTGTCAGTCTCTCTTGGCCCTGCCTTGCCCTGTCCCTGGTCTCCTGGATTCTGTAGCTTAGGAGGTCTTTTGTAGAATGTCTTCTGTCTTGGCATTGCCTAGTGTTTGCTCTGTTTTGGTGTTAGCCTCTGTTTCTCTGATAGGAATGTCATAGACATATCATGTTTTTGGTATGTCATGGCAGGAAGCTCAGGACCCAAAAACTGTGATGCCAATTTTGGTGAAGTCAGAGCTGGTGTCTGCTAAGTCTCGGTTGCTGTGTCCTCTCAGAAGTAAGGAGAGTGTGCAGTAGCCTCCTTCTTGGTCTTACTCCCTGGCCTTTGTGCCTAGCTGGCATCCTGCTGTGAGGTGTCCTTCTGAGGAGTTTTGTTTAAGATCAGGGTCCTTCTCTCTCTTAAATTCTTGGTAAAGTGTACCAGTCAAGCCTGTGTCTAGAATTTCCTTTGTGACATGACATGGTTTTGAATAGAAATTCAGTTGAGATGAGGACTTCAGAGAACTCACTTTCTTCATCTGAATTAAGATCTGTTAGGGTAGTTGTCGGTACTATTTGCCTACCCTTTTACTGTGTGAGAGATCTCTAATAGTTCCTTTCATAAATGATTATTAATTCTTTAACATCTCAGCGCAGTTTTCTTTTTAATTTATTTTATATGCATTGGTGTGAAGGTGTCAGATCTCCTGGAACTGGAGTTACAGACAGTTGTGAGCTTCCATGTGGGTGCTGGGAATTGAACCTGAGTCCTCTGGAAAAGCAGCCATCTCTCCAGCCCCTCGGCACAGTTTTTAACCTTACTTTCTCCATTGCTTATTTTCCTGTGGCTTTCTATTTCTCTTCCCTTCTGCTCTCTAGAGTGAGGCTTACTTGGTTTGTAAGAAGAAAATGGTGGTTCCAGCCTGTCTCACTTGCCTGCTGTATTTAAAGAAGCAGGCTAATGTGTATGCCTTTTTGCATTCTAACTTTTATCATCAAGCAGGGTTATTTATGTTTGAAAGTTTCTCCTTTCATGGGCCTGTGACTAGGTCTCTGTAACACAAATAATAAAAAACCCAGAGACAGATACTGGGGTTCAAGCTGAACATCAGAGAGGCTGAGCAGCCGGCCACTAGCTCTTACCTCTACCTCAGGCTGGCAGGGGTGATCCTGGTTCCTTGAATCCTCAGAGTGCAGTTCCTCAGAGGCAACATTCTCTTCACCAGTCCTCAGAGGCAATATGCAGACTGCACTGCTCTCCAGCAGGGTTCAGACTGCAATCCTTTGAGTTTCTGTCTCCTCTTCCTTACATTCCTCTCTCCACCCCGCCCTGTATCTCCTGTCCCTACCTCCTCAGTGCTGGGGTCAAAGGCATGTGATCCCAAGTGCTGGGATCACCTTTGTGTGAGCTCTGTTTCTGTTTTAGACTACATCAATTTTGTGTAGCTCAGGGTGGCCTTGAACTAATGAGATCCATCTGCCTCTGTCTCCCAATCCTAGGATTAAAGGTGTGTGCCACCACTGCCGGGCTCTGTGGCTGTGTCTAGCTTTGCATTTTGATCTCCAGTGGCTTTATTAAATCATGAATAATATATATCACCACAGGTCTCTTATGTCTAGTCTCATAGTTTATGCCTTTTTTTTGGCACATTTAATCCATTTTGTTTGATATCGTTTGACATATTTGTGTATATTTTTACTCTTCTGTTATTTGCTTTCTGTTTTTCTCATCAGTTCTTTTTCCTCTGCTAATTCATTCTTTATGTGTCGGAGTAACTGAACACTTGGTAGGATTACACTTTGATTTCTTTTGCATCATAGTCTCTGTCGCCCACTCTCGCCCTCTGTGCTGTTGCTTTCATTATTTACATTATGAACCAGAAACTGTAGTTTTATAATTGTTTTTAAAAAATGTTCTGTTTTGAAGAAATTACTAAGAGAAAGATAATACCATTTTATACGTTCAATTTTGCCATTTTTGGTGACTGCTCTTCCCATCTTTTCTATTCCATGTGAAGAACTTCCTTCAAGGCTCCACACAGTTCTGGTCTTAAAGACTCTACTTTCCTCAGTTTTTATGCTAGTTTTTCTGGGTATAGAATTATGGGTCTACAGCTTTGCTCCTTCTGGGTGGAGTGTTAAAGCCATTTAGCCATTTTCTTGCCATCGGGTCTCCTGTTCTTCTCTGAAGTCAGCTTTCATCCCTAAGCTTTTGTAGACACAGTGTCTCCTCCAGCTTTTGTAGACACAGTGTCTTCTCCAGCTTTTGTAGACAAAGTATCTTCTCCAGCTTTTGTAGACAGACACAGTATCTTCTCCAGCTTTTGTAGACAGACACAGTGTCTTCTCCAGCTTTTGTAGACAGACACAGTGTCTTCTCCAGCTTTTGTAGACAGACACAGTATCTTCTCCAGCTTTTGTAGACAGACACAGTATCTTCTCCAGCTTTTGTAGACAGACACAGTGTCTTCTCCAGCTTTTGTAGACACAGTATCTTCTCCAGCTTTTGTAGACAGACACAGTATCTTCTCCAGCTTTTGTAGACAGACACAGTGTCTTCTCCAGCTTTTGTAGACAGACACAGTGTCTTCTCCAGCTTTTGTAGACAGACACAGTGTCTTCTCCAGCTTTTGTAGACAGACACAGTATCTTCTCCAGCTTTTGTAGACAGACACAGTATCTTCTCCAGCTTTTGTAGACAGACACAGTATCTTCTCCAGCTTTTGTAGACACAGTATCTTCTCCAGCTTTTGTAGACACAGTATCTTCCCAAGCTTTTTTTTTTTCCCCCACTTCTCTTTTCTCTTTGGGGCCCAATGTTTGTCCTGCTCTGTATTTGTTGAACAACATAAACTTTACAGGGTGTGAGAAGTTTGGGTGTCATTCTTTCTCAGACTCCTTTGCAGTGCAGCCCCTGTGTGGGCCTGGCTCACCTTGAACTCCCATGCTTTATATTTCTCCTGTTTCAGACTCTTGAGTACAAAATCAAAGACCTGTGCCAGTGCTCCTTGCTGGCCTTCCACTTTTAAGAGCAGCTGGACATGCAGCCTCTGCCTTTTGGTTGCCTCTCACTGCTTTCAGTGTGTTCAGTGTCCATAATCGTTCTCTGTAGGGCAGTTCATCCAGCAAAGCTCACATGCAGCTACAGGCTCACTGACAGTGCCCGGCAGAAGCAACTCACGTGGAGGAAATACTTGCTTTATTATTTCTGCAACTGCAGAGGTTGTCATTTGTCCCACTGGGGAACATGAGGCAGAATGGCTGACGTCAGGGAAGACAGGAGCTGAGCGGAGGAGCAGGAACAGGAGAGGCCAGGCCAGATCCAGCCCCTTCTTCATCCTGACAGGTGCCACCATCCCCGCTAGTGTACTAAAGCACTAGGCCCTCACAGGCATATCCAGAGTTGACACCTTCCCTAACTTGCTGTTTCTCAGTCCAGTTCCATCCAAGGGCACCTATTGCAAAGCCCCTCTGGTACTTTGTGGTTCTGTTCTGTGGTTTCTGTTTCTTTGGTGAGGTTCTGATCTGCTCGTTCATTGTAACTATCTTTTCTTTGTAGTTCTCCATTATATTTATAACAGCTGCTTTAAATTCCTTTTAAAGCCTGTAAATTCTACCTGGCATCCCCCTCTCCCCCCATGGATCACACTTTCTAGTGTCATACTTATTTATTTATTTTTTTCAATGGTGCTAGGTTCATGCTGTGCAGATTTTTTTTGTTTGTTTGTTTTGTTTTGTTTCCTGTTGTATCTTGTTGATGAAATAGAAACTAGAGTTTCTTACTTTCCTCTGGAGATTTTTGCTTTGGCAGTGGGAAGTGTTTCAGATCCTGATCTCCAGGTGGTAGTCATATGATCCTCAGTACACTCGCGCACGCACGCACACAGGCACACACACACACACACACACCAATGTAAACATTTCAGTGAGGCTGCTGGGCTAGAGCCATGGCAGTGAGCTCTCCTTTCTTTGCCTTTCTCCTCGCCTCTCCCTAAGCACCTTTCCAGCTTTCCTGGGAGGCTCCTTCCTGAATTCTCAAAGCTGTCACCTTGTAGTGTCTGCTTGGGGTCCCTCTTTTCTGTTCAGGGATGGATGGAGAGTGTGAATCATGCCCCGTGCCAGCTGTGTAGAGCAGTGTTGCCTGTGTGTCCTGTGGCTGTGCCTCACCTCAAGGCCAGGCAAGTCATTGGTATCTGCACCACTTGGCAGGTCTCTGTGCTGGTTAACTTATCTAAAGATGTGGGACAGTGACCCTCCTGGAGGTAGACAAGCAGCAAAGATCAGTGATGGTGCATGGTAGGGCTTGGCACACACTAAGGGGGCTGCAGGAGAGCTCATATCTGGGTAAAATTAGGGACTTAGCTGGCCTCTGTTGATCATCTGAATTGACAGAACTCAGAAGGTGTCCTATGTGTTCCTTTCTGAGTACTGGGTACAATTTTGAAGGCATGTCTTTGTGTCCCACATACTGGAGACACGTGGTCAGCCAGGCTACCCTGCTTTTCTTGTTCATACAGACAGTCTGCAGAATGGCGTCCATGCTGCCCAAGAGCACAGTTACATACCAGCTGCTGCCTCGATTCTGTGAGCTGTGTGCCGATGGCAAACTCTTCCAAGTTCGGAAGGTGGGAACATAAGAGACCAGAGTCTTTGTTTAAGTTGAAAACTCCAAATCTATCTCTAGTGTTTCTGTGGACTGACTTAGTAAACATTCTGGGAGGGTTCCGCTGCTGGCTAGGGAGCAATATACAGACTTACAGGGTCTTTGGTTTCTTGAAATGATTTGTTCCAGAACCCTCTTGTGTTTGCTGTACCTTCCACCCCATTCCTGGTTTCCCTCAAGCTTTGGCTGTGACAGCCCCGCTTAGAGGCATTGATACCCCAGCCTCTACCTCGCTCATCAGGCCTTGTGACATGAGTGGTCATGACTCAGGGTCTTGTTCACTATGCGGGGAAGCCAACAGGCTCTACCTCATCACTACCAAATGCATTATGCATAAAGATCAATTAGGAGCCAGGAAGCCAAAGAAGTGGGCGCCCTCCTGTAAATCCCTGTTTTCAATGCAGCAGGCACCTAGCATGGTGCTGTGTGGGCGGTGGGCCCAGTACAGGCTTGTTAGCTGTCTGACTAGAGGGATAATTGCTCTCAGGGTTCCTGCTTGTTAGGATTTACAATCTGTTAAGACAAAAAGAAAGACAAAGAAATGATGCTGCCTTTGCCTTTCACAGGTGTGTGCCACGCACTTTGGCGATATTTGTCATGCTGTCGGACAAGAAGCCACTGAGAAATTTTTGGTATGTGAAGATTTGCCAATCATGATTGCTGCTGCACTTGTTGGTGCACTCTGCAAGTCTGGTTGGCAAGTGTGTGGGCATAGAGAGCCCAGACTCGGTGCCGTGCCCTGTGTCCTGCACGCTGTTTCCCCAAGGCCGCGTTCTCCTGTGCCGTTTTTGTCCTCTTTCCCTGCCGCCTCCCAGCACACCTTCTGGAGCTGTCCCTCGCTCTTGAGACCGTTAAAATCCAGAGCCTTGTCACAGGTATCTCTCTTCATATGTGCGGCCTCAGTGTGCCGGTCCAGCCGGGGCAGTCCTGGGCACATGCCTCAGCTGGGAGGTCTGTATTTCAAAGTTCCTGTGACGGATGTGGCAGTGGGACCCCGTGTCCACAGCCCCGCCCCCACCCCCAGCGTGACTCCCACTCCTTGAAGCAGTTCCTCTCACAACCATTCCCGCCTGTGTCTTGAGACCCCTCACGTGCTGCTAGCTCAGCTGGGGTTCACTCTGGCCTTCTTGCTTTGCCCAGACTCAGCCGCCCACGGGTGGTAGAATGTTCCTTTCCCTCCCCCCCCCCCCCCCCCGCTGCCTTCCCTTTAGAAGACATTGGGAGGGTTTCACTGGTGGGTACCTTGAGGGTAGGGACTCCATGCCTGGGCGGGGCTGGGCACTCAGTGTGCCTTCCTCCCCATTTAATGCTCTAGCTGTGTGGTTGGAACTCAACCTCAGAGAAGGTCGTTTCTAAATTGATTTTTAAATTTCAGTTAAGAAGCACATTTGGTTTCATTTAAAGCGTAAGCCACATCAACACCATTGTAACCCAAGACAGTTTATCCTGGGCTTCTGCTCTGAAGACACCCAGAACATTGGCATCTCATGGATGTCTCTGGAGAGGGTGGCAGTGGCCAGCAGAGCCATCTTCCTGTAGGTGGCTCGTCCCTCTGTCAGTCACGCTCCCATTTGTGTAACGTTTTAAGCTAAGTGATTTACATTAGGGTATTAAAGTCAAAGCCCTTTAAAAGATAAAATTTTAAAGGTATAATGGCCACCTTCATGTAGATACAAATATGTAAGTAATTATATTTAACTCATTTGCTAATAAAGCAAAGCAGAAAAATATAACAGCCAAGCTCAGTGGAGAGCTCCACAGCACACTTTCATAGTCTAAGCAAGCACGGACCCAAGTGATGTGCAGAGAGACACACACAGGTCATCCGCCTTCCTCTGGACATAGTGTGCATGTCTGTAGACAGGGATTATTCATATTCTCCCATTCTGTGTAGCCCAGGCTAGCCTCCAGTTTACAGCCCTTCCACCCCAGCCTTCCCAGTGCTGGGGTTACCGGTGTGAGCCCCATGTCTGCTCTCAGTTACCATGTCTGCTGTCAACCACGGACGACAGTACCCGGTGAAGCCAGTGCTTGTGGCTGGGCGAGCCAGCCCTTCCCTGAATCTCTGACTTTTGAGCTGTCTCTAATTTTGCTGAGGAGGGAGCGTTGGCCCTTCTCCACTGTCTTCTTAAATTTAACTAAATCACTTGTCAAAATTCGGTGGTGAAAGAGCTGTGCTTTCTTCTCCTACTTACTATTTCTTTTATATGATACCTTTAGAGACTGTGTTTTGCTATTAATTTTTTATTGCTGTTCGGCCGTGTCCCTATGGCCCTACCTCTATAGGCTATTGGGGCAGGTAGGTGCCGAATGTCCACAGGGCATTCCAATTTGAGTAGCTACAGTTTTTATGTGTTTGTTTTGGTAGATACCGACATTTTTTGAGCTCTGCTCGGATAACATGTGGGGGATGCGGAAAGCGTGCGCGGAGTGCTTCATGGCCGTGTCCTATAATACCTCTCCCGAGGTCCGCAGGGCCCAGCTCTCGCCTCTCTTCATCAAACTCATCAGTGATCCCTGCCGATGGGTGAGTGCTCCCCTTTCAGTCACTGATGGGTATAGTCAGAGCTTGACGTTCTGAGGTCAAAATTAGGTCACCTAAAACCTCAAAGCCTTTGGGGTAGATAGTTAGGAAGAGGCACACTGGCATTTGGGGAAAGTGCACAGAGCAGAAGCCAGAACTGAGAAGAGCCTTCGTTCCTACAGAGCATAGGCCAGCCGGCCTGAGGTCTTCTTCCATGGCGTCTAGTGCCAGTGCCCTGTGGACTTCACGGTTTAGAAACTCAAAGACCACTACGTTGAGGGGCTAAATGTACCTGTCTTCTGTTGAGAATGCTTTACTTGGCTTTTAGATGGTTGGAAAGTGGCAAACCCAAGATCAGCCGTCTCCTTCCCTGCCCCGCGTCAGGTCTGGTCCCTGCTGCAGGTCCACACTGTGTGCTCTGGTTCCAGGTGCGCCAGGCTGCCTTTCAGTCCCTCGGTCCCTTTATCTCCACCTTTGCAAACCCATCCCGGGCTGGCCTGTACATTCGGGAGGATGGCACCCTGAGCACCAGGCCTCCGAGCCAAGGCGTGGACTCTGACTTTGCCTCTGGAGCACCCACACCCAGCAGTTTCAGTGCCGTCTCCTTAGCCGGGTAAGCTCCAACCAGGACGATTGCCACAGCCCGCCCCTCACCTCAAGCGCCCACCTAGAATTCTAGCAATTATCTCTTCCCCAGGGTTAGTAATAGTGACCTTCCAGGCAAGGTGGGATATTAGAGCGTTAATTATGTAAAGAAGCAAAAAGTAATTGCAATAACGATTTCGAAACATGACTGCCGGGTTATAAATAATGAAGCTACCATGTCTCCTCAGTTTAGATAAAATATTCATTGAGGGTGGTGATTAAATAACCTGTAAAGAAAATTGTCTCTTTCTCCTTGATTAATGAAGTTCTTTGGAGAATTTACACGGGGAGAAAGGTGAAGTCTCCCAGATGTACGTTTGTGACACAGGGACATTCTGTGTGTACAAAGGCCCCATGCCTGCGTGCTGTGTTGACCCTCAGTGTCTTTCTAGTGTGGTGGCTGATCTTGGGCTTGTCATGTTTGCCCTCTGAGGATGATGGGTATGTGGGTGACCAACCTGAGGTAGCTTTTAAGCAACCCTTTGTCATGAGTGCTCCATAGGAGTGTGAGTGGGACTGTGTGGGCAGTTGCTACCTTTTGACCCAGCTCCCCCTCACCTCTCCATGCCTCCCGTCAGTGCTCACTGTGTGCAGCTCCATTCCACAGGGCCAGGTCTCCCTCATCAAGGGTTCCTGGAGGCCAGGACATAGTGGGTGCTCCCTGGTTCTGAGCCTCTGTTCCAAAGCCTGCCCCCAAAAGCTGGCTGAACTTCCTGGGGGGTATTTTCAGTGCAGCATTCCCCAGGGGGCAGGGTGGTGCTGAGTGCAGCTGTGAGGTTTCAGCCTTCTGACACACCCACACCATGGCAGGGACAGTCAGAAAAGAGGCAGGCGTAGGAGGGCGTATTTCCTTCCCATCCGCCCCATGGTGGTGAGAGCTTGCTCCCCTCCCGTTACTCTAGTTCTAAAACACCTGTGCACGTGCAGCCAGATCTCCTTCCAGAAGGCACTTCAGCCGAGACCAGTCATCTGCATGCTAGTACTTCTTCCTCAGACACAACAGAAAGCCAGCTAGGGAGCCCTTCCTCAGCCAGAGCGGAAATGACCATGATGTCCACCAGCAACTGCCCCTTCCCAGAGCTCCCAGGTGTCAGTGGCTGCCCCAGCCACAGTCACCCTGAAACGGAGCCAGGAACTTCCGAGACCACCTTCAGCACTTTCCTGCATTGGCGAGCTCCTCTGCCTGACATAAGCGAGGATGTGGAGGTCCTCCTGAGTGGGTCTGGACCACTGGAAGAGAGCCACAGTGGACCTGAGGCTGTGTGTGACAGCTATGTGGCCAGGAATGAGATCCAGAGAGTCCTGCAGAGTCTGCAGGGGCATCTGCTGCAGGACCCAGACATTCAAGGTGAAGGCGCATGTCGGCTTCCTTCTGCTCAGGCCCGCCCTTCTGTGCAGTGTGTGTCCTGACTCGGGATCGTGTCTAGTCCAGTCTGCTGTCTCCAGGGTTCCCAGACAGTGGGTGCACAGCCTGGAGAGAGCTCTGACAAAACCGGGGACAGTGCTTAGGCACATCTGTGGTGATGGAACATTCCTTAGCTCCAGGGATGGTGACATTATTTCCCATATTATGTTCCCTCTCTGGTCACAGACAGCTCAGAGTGACCCTCCTTTTAAAACCCATTAACTTGGGCCTTCACTAAGTCCTAAAGTTTCTTTCTTACACAGCCTGGGAAAGTACAACTCTTTTTTTTTTTTTTTTTTTTTTTTTTAAATGTCATGACTAATGTTCCCACCAAGTGTGGGTTCTGGGAGCCAGTCTCCTAATCCATACCCATTGTCGTACATACAGCATTTAGTTCTCAGCCAATCAACAGTGGTAGGCTTGTGTTTGTCCTGAGTCAGAGAAACTGGAAAAGCAACACTTGCTTCTGTTGCTGGGCAAAGATTTGTGACCCTTTGGGGAAAGGAAATGTGAAGGTTCAGTCTGCCTCATGGTTAGTCTTTGTCCCTGAGTCTGTGAGTAAAGGGACCCAGTGATTGGTCAAGGGACAAACAAGCATTGCCCTCCTGACTGCTGCAGGCACAGGGCTGGCATGGAAAAGCGCATCCCCGCGGCTGCCCTGGTCCCCAGTAACAAGAGCTGGCCGGACTGGAGCGATGGCTCTGACGTCTGGTCCAGGGGTGAGCCTAGGATCCATACTAAGTCATTAAAATCTTTTCAAAAAATGTTTGGAGGCAGGGTCTCACATAGCCCAAGCTAGTCTGGTCCTTGCTTTGTAACAGAGGGTGACATGGGACTTCGGACCTTTTTGCTGCCATCTCCCACGTGTTGGGATTATAGGTATGCACTGTCATGCCAAGCTTGTGGGGTGCAGGGCCTGGAAAAAAGGGTTTTGTGAAAGCTAGGTAAACACTGAACCAACTGAGCCATACATCCAGCACATAAAGTTATTAAAATTCTTGGTATTTCTCTGCCTGTAGCTCAAGTTCAGGTATTATCTGCCGCACTGAGAGCAACACAGCTCGACTCCACCAGTGACCCTGAGAGCAAGCAGACAGAAGGTCTGAGCGCAGAGTCTGCTTCAGACCCCAGCCCTGCCTCTGACAATCACATTCTCCCGTCGGCTTCATCATCTCAGAATGAGCTCTCCGTGGCCAGGATATTACAGAGCACAGTAAGTACTTGCCCTGTCCCTCAGCCAGGGATGTGACAGAAATCACAAAGCCACGCTTGCTTTTATTAATACATCCCTGCAGAGAAGATAAATGGCCAATTTCATTTCATTCTTAAGGTCATGTTTTGGATAACTAGACAACCAATCAATCAGGTGACTGATCACCCTGAATCCCTTCCTTGGGAACAGGGTGGGCACTAGAAACAAGCACCCCCCCTCCCCACCAGGGAGGAGATGACAGGCAGTGCTCTAGGGGGATTAACGGTGTAAATGTCCTGGGTCATTGCTGGCAGTCACTTACATCTTTAATAACACAAGAGGGTGAACTCTAACTTGGCGAAGGCTGCAGAGAGTGATGAGTGTGGCTGGCCCCTTGGTTCACAGACGTGCTTTAATACCCACCTGCTCGGTGATGGTCCTTTCTGAAGGGTGACTTGGGAAAGCCAGTGTCACCTACTTCCCATCCTGCAGTCTGGAGTCTGCTTCTTGTGAGACCAGGGTTCCAAGTAAAACCAGGACCTGGATTTCTGCTCACATGACTTTGTGGGCATCCACGTGCCTACCCCCCTCCTCCCCAACTTGCACTTGGACCAATTTAAGCTGGGGTCTCTCATGTCCCAGGCCTCGATTAAGCTGGGGCCTTTTCAGTTTCCGTGAAACAGCCTTGAGCAGACTCCGCAAGTTCAGTGTCTTCAGGACCCAAGTGCACACTCCTCTGCCGACATGGCTGAAATTTTGGCTGTAGTTATTAATTTATCACCCCGCACTCTAAGCCTGTTCAGATGAAGCTACTGGCACAATCAAAGTTGTTAAAGGTGCTGTTAAGTTATTGAGAAATGATGTGTTGTTTCTAGAAAATGCTGAGAAAAGTGGCCTGTTAGCTTTGTTATCTGCCTGTGGAAACCCTGAACATAGAGGAAAAAGGTCTGGTCGGTTGTCCCTGGCGGGGTGTGGTATATTGGGGCTTCTTAATCAGAGGCAGAAGTGGGAAAAAGTAGCAAGCCACTCCAGCCAGGTCTTGTGAGGTCTGTTTGGAAAGCTGAGCTGGTGGACCTCAGCTTGACTCTAGAGCTCAGATGAAGTCAGCCAGGTGCCTCAGTTGCAAATGAGAGAGAGAGAGAGAGAGAGAGAGAGAGAGAGAGAGAGAGAGAGACAGAGAGAGAGAGAGAGAGAGAGAGAGAGAGAGCGCGCAAGCGCGAAGGAGAAGAGGCAGCACCCCTGTCCACAGTGTTCAGGAGAGGCAGAGTAGCCTGCTGCACTCCCCATCAGCAGGAGGAGGCCCTACCCCAGCACTCCCCTGACTTGGCTCTCCCTATTTGTCTTCTTGGCCACGGCTGTGGGGGCGAGGGGTGCAAATGGCAGAGGGGCTGGAAATACGTCTCTCCTGAAGAGCCAGGGCCCTCTGGACAGGCTCTCCTCACCCTCTCACCATCCAGCATGCCACCCTGCTTGGGGGCTGTTTTGGAGAAATAAGCTCACAGTGCTCCTGAGGCAGTGCTGTGACTTCACTCAAGACAGGGACAGGATTTCTTCCTAAAGTGCTGTATTTGATTCCAGCCATGTCGTGTTAGCACGTGTTGATCCACGCGGAGAACGGGAGACAACATGCCCAAAAGAGACCTTGAGTGTCCTACCAAAATGTTACTGTCATGTTTCCTGTTCAGAGAGACAGCATGTGTCTCTGTAAACATTGGACGCTAAGGTCCTGGTAGCATGCTCAGAGCAAACACAGCATCTATTGGGGTATTAATTGACTCCTGGATCATATATTGAGCTGATTTGTCAGAATCCATTAACACAGTAGACAGTATGACATTTCAAGTGCAAGTTGGAAAACCGTGTTATGGTTGAAGGAGAAGGTCAGGTCCATCTCAGTTAATGTTAATCAATGATCAGAGACTGATATGTCACCACTGAATGTTCTTGCTCATTTTAATTGTTAACCTAATGTAAAGGGTCATCAGCAAACATGAGGAGTGTTTGCACACGTGGGAACTCAGCAGTTCTCTGAGTAAACAGTCCCCTGCTGGCTACTCCTCCCTCACTGCCTGCCACCTGCACTCAGCCTGCTTTCAAGCAAAGGCTGTGGCTGCCTGTTTGTCCTTTCTGAAAACCCACCCCTACCCCTCCTGCTGTAGCTGTCTTGAAGGCTGCTGGTTGTCCGCACAAGGGAGACCCAGGCCTTAAAGGAGCAGAGGGTGCCAGCCGTTGGGCCTCGGCAGCTTTGACAGTAAGTGTGGCCTTCTGTGTGGCAGTCTTGAAGCTGGTGTGTGAGGTGGCAGCAACTGGACCACAGCAGACTCTGCAGCTGTGCCAGAGTGTGATGTGATGTCAGGAGAGATGCCTTGTCATCTCCAACAAAAGGAAGCAAGGGCCCTGGCAGGGGGGTGGATGCAAACACTCATCCCCTTTGCTGTCGGTTGGTAACATATCCCATCAACTCTACAGGACCAAACTGAGCCTCAAAATGGAGCCAGTGGCCACCTGGGGACTGAGCAGGGCCAGGGACCGACCGCACTCGAGGAGAGTAAGGCTAAAGTACAGGTTGGTTTGCTCCTTGAAACAAAAGGAGAGAATGAAAACGGAAGACGCCTCATCTTCCTTAAAGCTCGGTTTTGCAGCAGCTGCCTAAGCCAAGTTTTCCTTCTGTCAGGGTGAACTCTGTCATTCATTAAGTGGGTAATATTTTCTCTCTAAAAGTAATTGTGCAGGCATAGAGAGGTGATGTGTTTGTATCTAGGGAGGTCTCCCTTCAGTTGGAAAGACAGACGAAGCAATAATCCCCAGGGTAGCCTTGGGCCCAGCTCCCTGGGCTGCGGTAGTGGATGGCCTCCACCCTGGGCGGCTGTGCCCTGCACGCTGCTCCAGGCTCTTCTCTGTAGACAGGTCCCCACTTGGAGGCAGCTGGCCATAGACCCTGATTCCCCTGTTGTTGCTCTTGCTGGCTTCCGCTTTGCTGTTCTCAGCCCAGGCTGTGGAGGCCTGCACTCCATCCAGTGTGGTGAGCTCCTCCCTCTTGTTTCCCAGGATATAATCCCTCAGCCTCTGCTAGACCAGTTTGTGTCCATGACTGACCCAGCTAGAGCCCAGACTGTGGACACCGACATCGCCAAACACTGTGCCTACAGCCTCCCTGGAGTGGCCCTGACCCTGGGCCGGCAGAACTGGCATTGCTTGAAGGGCACGTATGAGACTCTGGCTTCTGATGGTCAGGTAAAGGGTCTTGTTCAGAGGCACAGACAGAAAGAGAGCAGCATCCGAGCAAGCAGGGGGCCCCGGGGGCTGTAGTGCAGGCTGTCCACCTGACTTTGATGTGGCTGGGAGCTGGCTTGTTTACTGTTCTCTGGGAAAATGCTAGAAACAGTGGTGATTCGTGTGTCTGCTGTCACCCCTAGTGGAAGGTCCGACGGACTCTCGCATTTTCAATTCATGAACTGGCAGTGATTCTCGGAGATCAGTTGACGGCAGCTGACCTGGTACCCATCTTCAGTGGCTTTCTAAAGGATCTGGATGAAGTGCGTGTAGGAGTCCTTAAACACCTTTATGACTTCCTAAAGGTAGGAGAGCTGAAAGCATGAAAGCCTTCCCACAAGCTGGTGCTGAGCCTGGACTGGCTGCTTCCTAGCCTGCAGTTGAAATGCATCCAGAATCTAAACATGGACATCCATGTGTCTGCTGCTGCTCGGACCCTATAGGGCTGTGCTTCTTGTGAAGGGTGGTGAACAGCAAAGTCTGAGGTCCCCAGGGGTGACCTGGCTTACCCAGAAGTCACCTGCAGAAAGAGGCTGAGCCCAGATCAACCCCAGCTCTGCAAGATGCTGTGGCCACTTGTGTCCCTGCCTTTTCTCTCCCCCTTAAAGGAATGATGAGCATAAAAATAAGAGCTTACAAGTTCCTTAGAGAAACTAATTTGTCACCTTGCTGTGGCTGTCACTGACTCCATTCAGGCCCTGCTTTTCATCGATGATGAGGGGTTTCACCCCACTGAACACAAAGACCCACCCTGGGGGGTGGGAAGCACTGGGGTTGATGGGACATGGGGCAGGTGGGGGTGGGGTAGGTGGTGTTCCCACCCACCAGAGGAAAAGCTGTGGAGGGTGTGCTCCCCTTGGCCTCGGCTGGCAGCCATGTCAACACACAGCCCTGTAGAGTCAGGGTGACTCAGTATGAGGGAGACATGTAGGCTTTTGGCTGGTGACAAACTTACAGCCTTATAGCAGAGAAATAAAAGGGGTCCTGAGGTCCCCTTGAGGCCGACGTGTCATTTATGGAGCTGTATTTTCAACAGCTGCTCCACGAGGACAAGAGGAGAGCTCACCTCCGGCAGCTGCAGGAGTTTGTGGTGACTGACAACGACAGGAACTGGAGATTGCGCTATGAACTAGCAGAGTGAGTCACCTCCCTGTGGGCCCTTCCTCCCTGTACCCGACATCAGCCCCAGAAGCACGGTGCTCTGCCCGGTCGAGAGTGTGTTTCTGTCAAGGTACAAGTGGAATTCCATAGCCCTGAGTTACATACGCCCGTGTCTGGGGAGACATCCATTTTCTCATGAAGACAGAGCTAGGGTCAGTCTGGAATTGGAGTGTCCTACTGTTCTATAAGACAGTTTATTCAACCCAAATAAAAGATGAATCACCCACTCTTCAGTGCTTCCTTCTGAATCAGAGTGGTTTTGCAAAGCCTTCTTGAACATTCTGCATGCAGCCTTTTCTGTAGGACACATGTACTTGAACAGTCAAAGCACCCTGGGCAGCACTGAGATCTGAAAAGGTCTCATGCACAATGCCTGTGTGAGGGAAGCGCTCACTCAGCTCCTGCCTGCTGTCTGCACAGGGAACGTTCTAGATTTTACCCGTAATGAACAAGAGTGTGGTTCACTGCCCCCTTCACGAGGTGGAGAATGTACTTTAGTGGTGTGGGTGATTTGTTTGTGGGGTGCTTGTTTGGGCTCTTGTTGAGGTCCATTTCTGTATCTTTAGTTTTCGTTTTTATTATCTGGATACAACTAGTCATATCTCACTCAATCACTGTCTTCCTGAAGAAATCCATCAGGCTTTTGCAGCTATTCAGGATATGATTTTGCCAGCGCCAGGGGCAAACTGGAAGATGTTCTCTTTGCTGTGAGCTTTAATCTTTATGCTTAATTTGAGAGATTGAGGTTTAGGCATTATGTCATGTTCTCAGCACACTGGGGCAAAAATAGAGAAAAACAGGCCCGGGCCTGGCAGGGCGGCCGTGCTCCCCCTGGCGGCGGGAGCAGGGTGAGCCCCCGGAGGCCCGACCCGGTTCGGCCGGCCCGGCCCGGCCCGGCCCTGTCTCCCATTGTGCTGCTTATTGCGGCGGCGGGCCGCGATAAGGACTGCTGGGAGCGATATCAGCCTCATTTTACCCCCGCAGACGGCGGGAGCGATATGAAGCCGCTCGCCGCGGCCCGCTTCCTCCCCGCCCTTTTTCATTTCCTCTGCCCGCGTACAAATCACACCACTCTGCTGCCCGAGCCCACCAGGGCTGTGGCGAGCGAGATAGAAATAGCAAGGAAAAATGACCTATCAAAAAAAAAAAAAAAAAGCGAGTGGAAAAAAAAAAAAACCTAGTGATACAGAATGAGAAAGACTTATATGGAAAAAGAGCGAGAGGAAAACAAAAAAACCCTAGCGGGAGAAAGTGAAGGAAGAAGAGCGAAGAAAATACCTACTGAGAAAGAACGTGGGAAAAATACCTAGCGGGAAAGAGCGAGTGAAGAGCTAGCAAGAAGCAGGGCGGGAAAAGACCTAGCGAGAAAGGAATAAGAAAACAGAAAATACCTAGCGAGAAAAGAGCAAGGGGAAAAACCCCTAGCGAGAAAGAGCCAGTGAAGGAAATTTCTAGCGAGAAAGAGCAAGGGGAAAAACCCCTAGCGAGAAAGCGCGGGCAAAAGACCTAGAGAGAAAGAGCCAGTGAAGGAAATTTCTAGCGAGAAAAGAAAGAGCAAGGAGGAAAAAAAAAAAAAAAAAAAAAAAAAAAAATACCTAGCGAGACCGAGCGGGCAAAAGACCTAGCCCTAGGGAGAAAAGAGCAAAGGGGGAATAAAATACCTAGCGAGAAAAGAGCAAGGGGCAAAAAACCCTAGCGAGAAAGCGCAGGCAAAAGATACCTAGCGAGGCAGAGCGGGCAAATGACCTAGTGAGAAAAGAACAAGGGGGGAAAAAATGCCTAGCGAGAAGGAGCAAGGAGGAAAAAATACCTAGCGAGAAAGCGCGGGCAAAATAACCTATAAGGAAAATAAAAATACCTAGCAAGAAAGTGCGGGCGAAAGACCTAAACAGAGCGAGGGGGAAAAAAATACCTAGCGAGAAAGCACCAGCAAAAAAACCTATAAGGGAAAAAATACCTAGCGAGAAAGCGCGAGCAAAAAACCTATAAGGAAAAAAAAAATACCTAGCGAGAAAGCGCGGGCAAAAGACCTATAAGGGAAAAAAAATACCTAGCGAGAAAGCGCGGGCAAAAGACCTATAAGGAAAAAAAAAAATACCTAGCGAGAAAGCGCGGGCAAAAGACCTATAAGGGAAAAAAAATACCTAGCGAGAAAGCGCGGGCAAAAGACCTATAAGGAAAAAAAAATACCTAGCGAGAAAGCGCGGGCAAAAGACCTATAAGGAAAAAAAAAATACCTAGCGAGAAAGCGCGGGCAAAAGACCTAGCAAGAAAAGAGCAAGAGAAAAAATACCTAGCGAGGGGAGATAAAGACCTAGCGAGAAGGAGCAAGGGGAAAAAAACCTAGCGAGAAAGGGCGAGCCAGAAGACCAGGCGGGGAAAGGCTAGCAAGGAAGCTAGGGTATTGATTCTTCTTTCTAGCAAACAGAGCGGGCAAAAACGAGCTAGGTTCCGGGAAGCGGATGAGGAAGAACGGCGGGGAAAGAGCGATTTTGAAAGCGAAGAAAGAGCGAACAAAAAAGAAGGAAGACGAAACAACACGGGGAAAGAGCGAGGGCGCCTCTATCTGCCACTCGGCTCCTCTCTCCGCGCCTTGCTCGGTCAGCTTGGCCTGGAAAGTGCAGGCCTGCGGCTGCTTTTACATTGTCTGATGTTGAACAGAGTTTTGTGTGCCTTTCAACCACAATCGGACGCTGAAACCTCAAAACCCATGCCCTGAACATCCGAACCCCTATTTTACAAAGCGCTCGGTACCGGCGGCTTAGGCATGCCAGCTGCTGCCGCAGCCGCCGCCGCCGCCGCCACAGCTGCAGCCGCTACAGCTGCAGCTGCGCCCGCGCGTGGCTGCCAAAGGGAAGGAACGGGAATCGCCTAGTAAATGATGGTAGGGGTCCCTCTGCTTGTGATTGTAGGCAGCTGATTCTGATCTTGGATCTCTATGGCCCCAGCGACGTTCACGGTTACCTGAGGCACGTTGCCCTGAAGTTGTGTGCAGACAAAGTTTCTCAAGTGCGCTGGATTTCCTTCAAGCTAGTAAGGAGCTGGCCTTCCTGGAGCCCATTCCTGTAAACAGCACATTCATTCTGCTTCCCATTTTAACACTTTTTTTTTCTGGGCTCTGTTTGCCTTTTTCTCTATAAGCCCACCTTTTGCAGTTAGAAACTGTATTGTTTTATCAATTTTCCTTCTGTTGTTAATTTTATGATTCCATGATGGTAACTGTGCAAACATCATTTTTATTTGAAATTTTTAAAATAATAGCTCAGGGTTTTGGTGTGTGCATGTGTGGTGGTGGTGTTGGTGTTGTTTAACGCTCCACAGCTTTATAGAACAATTAATAATATGCAAAGCCTCTCACAAAAAAAAAAAAGATGACCATGTTCTGTGACCAGTAACCAACCCCCAAGGAAGGTAGTCTTACTTGTTTTTAAAATTTCTTGACGGTATTAAAATTTTATAGAAGTACCATATCCTCAAAGGTAACAGTTCACACATTTCACAAAATGTGTTTTTAAAACTGAATCTTTCTTGATGTATTTGTCAACCCCCCCCCTTAATTTTAGACTCTCCTTAAAAAGTTTTGTGTGCATGTATATATTATGACCCATTTAAACACCTTCTCCCCTGTGTGCACCAGTGAGAACTGAGAGTTGCTTTCTCTTGCTTGTAAATTGATTGGGAAGGGTGGACGAGAACATAAAAATGCCTGTGCCATGCAGATCACTGCTTGGAATGGGCATGGTGGGCACCACCTCACCTCACGGCTGTCTCTCTCACATCGCTTGCTCACAGGTAGCAGTGATGCTGCGGAAGTTCTATTCCCACGGTGCGAGTGCTCTGGGGCTCAGTTTCATCCAGGAGCTCACCTCAAGGTTCCGGCATTGCCCGAAGTGGGTTGGAAGACAGGCTTTTGCTTGCATCTGTCAGGTTAGCACAACCTCAGAGAATGTGCCTGTGCATTCCTTTCTCCCTGGAGAGCCTGCTTTCTTTGTGGGAGACTGACCAGATGTGGGGTACAGTGTCCGGCCAGTTCACCCAGGGCACTCCCTCACACCCTAGACATGGTTGGAACCTGCTGTTTGATTCCTGGGTACCCTGGGGGTGACATCAGTGATGAACCAGCCTGCTCTCCTGCCACACTGCATCCAGGGTTAGGGTGCAGAACCCCTTCTCGTGCCCCAGGTATAAAATTTATGTCACCCTGTCTCCTCTAAGTGGTGGTGTATGTGGTGGTAGAGACTGCAGTTAATTTGGAATGTCAGTCGCCTTACTGGGTCATGGTGGGACCGATGGCACACTTGTTTACCTGCAAGGATAATTGTTTTAGGTGAAGCATTGACCCCAGAGGGATCAAGTGACCTACTCAGGACCCCACTAGAAGTGGAAATCATGGTTTTAGCTTTTCAGGATTTTGTACCCCAAAATGTTATTTATTTGAATCACTTTGATGTTTCATCATGCTCTCTGCTGGCACCACAAAGGCAAAGGGGACAGGGGCGCCACCTCCAGGACCTGATTACCCAGCTGTATTCACAACCAGTTTTGATGGAGCTCTGTGATCAGCCCCCCACACCCCACCCCTCCACCCGCAAAACAACTGCAGTGAGAGGACTCACCGGCTCCCCCTGTTGGTATACAGGGGCATAGCCAGTATTTTTCCACAGCACAGCCATCTGAAGAAAAACATCAGTATTCACAGCAGTGTGTAGTGAAAGCAGAAATGAGATCCTTTTTCTTTTGTGTTTTTAATTATTTGTCTGGAATGGCAGAAAAATGTAAGAAACAAGAAATGATACCAATCCACTTTGTTCAAGAAAAACCAACAAGATCTTTTTTTAAGAAAAAAAAATCTTATTATTAATAAGATATAGACAATCCAGCAAACAAGCAGGGGAGGATGCTCAGGAGATAGCATACCTCTGAGACTTGTTCATTTTGATCTAAGCACAGCTCTGGGAAGAAGGTACGAGGTGGCAAGGCAGCTCTGGGATGAAGCCTGGTTGGCTTAAAGCCTGTCTCTGAGCTCAGTGCCTGGGCAAGCAAGGCTCTGCGCAGTGAAGCGTACCCTTCCTAGTCTGATGCAGCCCAACTGCCTAGAACAAGCTTGGCACCCAGAGCTACTTGATGGCCCTGAACGTTGTTGCCATGGCACTAACCTACCGGCAATCCATACACCTGGCTGAAGAGCCATTCCCCTGTGGTCCTCAGACTTTCAGTCCCATATCCACATTGGAACAGAATTTCCTCACCATGAAACAAGGCTAGTGACCCAATTAAGTTTTGAGCCTACAGCTGCCGGGCTCCACAGCCTGTGTTTCCTCTCTAGCTGTTGTGCTCCCTGTCAGTCATTCCATGGAAGTGAGTTATAAAAATTAGCCACTGGTTATAACTAAATTCAGTTGTTGAAATATAAAAGTCAGGTGCCCTCAAACCCTGCAGACCCTGGAGTGGTATCTTCAGAGTGTGCAAGTGTGTGTGCGTGCTTTGGAGCTGAGGGAGTCAGGGCTGGGCTGTGACTCTCGCTTCTGCAGGCTGTGGTGACTGAAGACTCTGTCCCCGTGGACCAGTTTGTGGAGCACTTGCTTCCCAGCCTCCTGAGCCTGGCGGCGGATCCTGTGCCAAATGTGAGGGTGCTTCTGGCCAAGGCCCTGCGGCAGACACTGCTGGAGAAGGGTGTGTGGCCCTTGTCTGCTTCTCAGTTAGCCCTAGCTGTGGCGGGCAGTATCTAGGTCCCCAAGGAGTTACAGCAGGCCAAATAGCAATGACTGAAGCTACAAGATAGCTAGAGAGATGAACACAATTCCACAGTTCCACGAGTCCATCAGATACAGACGGTCATACAGCTTTGTAGGCGGGGCGGGGTGTCAGCTCCGGTTACCTTATGAAATGGGGCCAAAGTCTGTCTCAGTGCTATTGCCATGTGTCGACACTGGGCTGTCTAAGCTTGAGTGATAGTGAATGCAAGCTGGGGTCTGTGCTGGCTTACTTTTCCACCATAGATGGGGCCTGTTTGCCCATGTCTAGCCTTCTCCCTTCTTGCTGACCCCACCAGCCAGTTCTCGTGTACTGCAGAACAAGATGCATTTAAAGGTTTAGTTACTCCAGCTTTTAAAGAAGGTGTCACTCCTGGTAGCCCACCATTAAAATCTCAGAAATACTTTTAGAATAAGGCATTTTATCACTTGAAAGGACTTTGGCATGCGGATATTAATGGAAAATCTATCCAGTGCCTTGACATGTGGCTTCAAAGACAACAAAACTAGAATGTGTTTAGAACACAGTTTGTGGCACATGTAACTCTAACTTTTCTCTCCTTAGCATATTTTAGAAATGCCTGGAACCATCATCTTGAAGTTGTTGAAGAGACTCTCTTGGCTCTGCAGTCCGACCCGGACCAAGATGTTTCATTTTTTGCTTCCCTAGAGCCAAAGATGCAGAATGCTACAGACACCACTGTACCGGAAAACTAGAACTAAACCCTGTGTCGGGTGCACAGGGATGGCTTCAGTGCACACATGCCTGTAACTTGAAGGGGATCCAATTGTATTGATACTTGTGGAGGAGGTTTAATTGAGGTAAGGGGGCAGCTTCCCCCATATGCTCCCCACCCCTCCAGACCTGCTCCTCGGCAGGTTACAAAGATTTACTCTCTGGCTTCCACACCATCAGCTATGACAGGCAGTTTGTTTTTTAGCAGAGACTGTTATTTAACGTGTCTCCCAAGAGCCTGGTATAATTGTTGACACCTGTAGCCCCAGCACCTGCGAGACTGGGGCAGAGAGATCAAGAGCTCAAGGTCAATCAAGAGAATTCCAGGCCTGCCTGAGCTACATAACAAAACCCTGTCCAAGGAAACCAAACATAAGTCTAGAGCTACCCTCACCAATAAAGTAATTTAGTAGAAGTTTGTACATCTTTTCTGGGCTTGCTGCCCTAACCTTTCTGAGAAACTCAAATACTGTACATATGTAAATAACTTGACAGGAAGAAAATATATGAATGTAACACTAGCTTGCCTAGTGAAAAAACACCGTGTGAAGTCTCCTGCTCAGGAGCTGCTGCGGGTGCTGCTGACTTGATGACCTTTGAACTGTGTCCTAGTAAAGAATGGTTACCTCTGCTGTGGTAACCTCCTCTCAGGTGTTGAAGTTTTGTTGCACACTCGGCTACACTCATAATATTTCCTCCAGGTCTCACCCTTTCCCTCTTCAGAGAATGACAGTGTGTTGATCTTTGAGAACATCCAGGCAGGTTGGCTTTAATTAGGACTCAGGTGGAGGTGGGGTCAGGGCTGATTGCTGAGATTCATGGATAATGACTTACACGTTAGATTTGAAAGAAAGAAAGAAAGAAAGAAAGAAAGAAAGAAAGAAAGAAAAGAAAAGAAAAGAAAAGAAGGAATAGAAAAGAAGCCACACTTTTGACCAGAGCTTTCTACAGGCACCATCGGTCTGGTAGTTAAGTTATGTACTCTTTCCATTGACTTAAGTACAAAGAGCTTAGCTTTGCTGGTTTTGGATTTCAGATGAACAGAAGGTGCTGCCTCGTTTAAACAGAGCTTCACCCACTAATAATAATGTACTCTGTGGGAATTCGGCTACGGCTCTCTACCTGTGTCACTCCCGGCTTTGTCTTTCTCATCTTAACATAACAAAGATGGCGGAGCAGCCCATGGAGCCAGGAGCTTCTTCAAAACTGTAAAGTCATGCGTTCAATTTCCTGGTATACAGGATACCCCTGCAGATCCCCAAATACCATCGGTCTTGTTACTTAAAAAGAAAGAAGGCTCAACGCTGTGCCACAGAGAATGGGGAATGTGTAAGGAACTGAAATAGTAAGCACAGGCAACATTTGGGCAGCTTTGGCACAGAGTTAATTTATTAGAGGGTTTCTGCAACGAACATGCTTTTAGTGCCTGCAAAGTGGGCATTGTTGTATTAAAATCTGTTCTAAAAGTGAGGGAAAATATTCAGCTGGAATCTTGGATTCTCCACAGAGCATAATTTTCTGTAAAGAAAAAGGAACAAAAAGCTGGGCAGAGGTAGTACATGCCTTTAATCCCAACACTCGGGAAGCAAAGAACAGTGCATCTCCAAGTTTGAGCTCAGCCTGATCTACAGAGCGTGTTCCAGAACAGCCAAGGCTACACAGAGACCCTGCCTCGATAAATTAAATAAATAAATAAATAGATAAATAAATAAATAACAAAGATTTAGTGTTCTAAGGTAGAATCTGGGCACTAGGATCCAATTTGAACACTTGAAATGATAGAGCCAGCCTCCTATGAGAAGACTGGCTCAGTGTTAGGTAGAGAGCTTTCCTCTCATGAGTGGATTCTTGGGATCAATACCCACTTCTGCAGAAAATAAAAAATAATAAAAAAGTGTAAAACTGGTAAAAGGTCCAACCTATGCACTCACTGTACAAATCACAGTTACCTATAGTTTAGGACGAGCCTCTCCTAGATATAAAAGGATTAAATCCTCCTCCCTTAGTGTCGCTGGCTCAATATAGTTAAGGATGTCACCTTGAACTCCTTACCTCTGCCCCCAAGTGCGTGGATGGCCCGGACCTCCATGCCTCAGCCCAGATTTCTGTTAACTGCTATACCAAATGTATTTTTTCGGGGTTTATTTTAGTCTTCGAAGGGTGTTCCGGGTCCCTGCCCCTTCCCTGGTGCTCCCTTCAACCCCTTAAGACATTGCTTGGGATCTGGCATTTGAGGCCTCCATCACCAACCCCGCTCCCCATGTGAGCTCTCCCTAAAAAGGTTATAGCCTAGCCTGTCCCCTCAAATGTGTTCTAGGCTTTTCTCCTCCCCCCCAACCTACCCACCCCGGGATGCTGCAGTGTCAGGGCCCATGGGTCTGATGCCACTTCCACTGTGGCCCAGGACTGCCTGGGTTGCTGTGTTCTGGAAGCACATGGGGACAGGCCTGGAGACCACCTTAGAAACGGTGGGCCCAGCTGTTCCAGATGCTTCTCCCTGGTCACGCATACTGCCATGAGCAGACAGGTCCATCCCCCGCAGCGCTAGGAGACTGGCTAGGGCTGCGGAGGGAGGTGAGGGGGGAGCGTCTCCGGAAGCGCGGGCGCCCCTCTCCCGTCCCAGGGGCCCGGGCGGGGGCGGCGATGACGTGCGGGATGACGCGGGCCGCGGGCCATGCGGAGGTCGGCGGACGTGGCGGGGGCGGGCGCGCGGCCGCGGAGGCCGCAGGGGGGCGCCCCTCGTCACGACCCCAAGGCGGGCACGCGCCCCGCTCAGCCCTCCAGCCGGGCCCGCGCGCGGGCTAAGGGGCCATCATCGGACCTGCGCACCTCCATCGCATCGCCAGACTTGGCCACTGACGTCTTCTCACTGCGGGTGAAACTGGAGGAGACTGGGGAGCTGTTCCGCGTGGCCAACTGCCGCAACGACATGACAGTGCGGGACCTCAAAGAGGAGCTGGACCTGATGGTCGGCATCCCCTTCAACCTACAGCGGCTGCAGTTCCTGGACCAAGGTGGTCCCCTGCCCCACCCCTTCCCGCACCCCACGAGCTCCTTCCTCGCAAGGGCCCCTGCCCACTCCTGCCCTGGGGTCCCCAAGAAACACCTAACTACCAGAGGACCCAAGGTGACCCAAGGAGCCAAGTCCAGCCACCTTGAACCCCATCCAGAAAGGCCCCCTGGAGCGCTGGCCCCTCAAGGGCTCCCAACCCCAAACACACGGGTATCTCACCGACCCCAAATATAAAGGTGGACCTGGTTCATAAACATTCTGTCTGTTGGCTTCAGTCTGCCAACCTTGAGCAAGTCCAGGCTACTCAGAACCTCAAACCACAGCAAGACCCTCCTGGTAGCCACAGATCCTCCCTTTATAAGGGACCCAGCCCCTTAAGACAACCGTGTCCACCTAAGACTGCACTTGAAACAAAATTAGGCCTCAGTAGACCCACCAAATCATCATGGACAGGCCTTTTCTCTGTGAGAACCTGGGTCCAAAACCAACCCAAAGTGGTGAACCCCAAGTTCTGTAGCCAGCCTGTCTTGTGTAAGCATTCCAGAAACTGAGACTAACTTTGCTGGTCCTAGAACCCCAAACTCAGAGCACATCTTCCCAAGATTGAACCCCAGATCTCCAAACCAACAATAAATAGGTCAGACCCCAAGACTCCATCTACTGTGTCCATATAGAGCTGCACAAACTCAAAAGAAGCTCATTCAGTCCCAGGACCCTCAATGCCCAGAGCAAAGTTGGCATGACTGAACTCCAGGTCCCCCACCCCCAATGACCATTCAAGGACAGTAAACATTATATTCTCCCCACCCCAGGGACCCCCAGATACAGAGCAAACATGGCCGGAACTTCAGACTAACCATGGCTACGTTAGATACCCCCAGGCTTCCATCAACTGTGTCTACATAGAGAGGCTATGACTCAGAACAAACCTTCCCATCCTGGAACCCCCAAACCCAGAACAAAGCTGAATGTCCAAAACTCCTTCCCATACTAACCACTAACAGACAACCCCCCCCCCAAATCATACCAACTGTATATTCATTCAAGGGTGCTAACATTCAAAATAAAACCTGCCCATCCTACAACCCCAAGCCCAGAACACACCTACCCAAGGCTGAACCCCCAAATATCCCAGGCTGACCACTACTATAGCCCACCCCCAAACTCTTATTATTAACTGTGCATACAGAGATGCTAAAACTCAAAACAAACCTTGTCTATCATGGGACCCCCAAACCCAGAACGAAGCTGAACCCCAAGATTGAACCTATCTGAGATAGCCATCACTCTCTTAGAACCCCAGGTTATTCATATAAGCATGTCAAAATTAAACCAAATGCTTCCTTCCCACTCCAGTACCCTTAATCCAGAGTATACCTACCTAAGACTGAACCCCACATCTCCAAACTGCTATCACTACTTTAGAACCCCAAGCCCCCAACATCTCCTTTATAGGAAGACACTAAAACTCAAGACCAAGCCTACCCACCTTAGGATCCCCAAATCAAAACAATTCTGGACAAATATAAACCCCCACTCCCCAGGCTAACCATATGACCGTCAGGACCTGGAATCCATGGCTGTGTCCACACAAGGATACCGAAGGCTGAGACAAACCCTGCCCACCTCAGGGTCCCAAAGTCTGTCCACTCATTGCTGTGTTTGAACCTCAAATCCTCTAGCTGCCCCTGGCCACTCCAGCACCCTAAGTACCAGAGCAGACTCCGCCCACATCACGAGTATCAACACTGAGCCTATGTCTATGTACCTGATTCTGAGACACCTCTCCCTGCAACTCCCACCATCCATCGGTGCATCCAGACCCCCATCTACATAAGGATGCTAGATCCCCAAATGGAGCTTGCCCACATCTGGACCCCCAAATCCAAAGCCAAGTCTGTCCACCTCTGAAAGGCAGCCCTCAGGCTCCCCATGTCCTTCAAGGAACCCAGTCCAAGCCAAGTGTCTCACAAGGGAGGGTTCCAAGGATTTAATGAATCTTGCCTACAGAAGGACCCCCAAAAGTGAAGCCAACCTTGCTTCTGCTTGATTTTCCACCCCCACAAACACCATGTTTTTATGAGCATTTCAAAGCTGATGCCAGCTGTAGCCCCTGTAAAGAAACCAAGGTTCAAAGCTACCCTGGTTCATGAGGACCCCAGAATTCAATACAGATCTTTTAGCCAAACCCACCCATATCAGAACCCTGATGTAGTGTCAGCGGTGTCATTAGTAAGACCCTAAATCTCAAGGGAGAGCTATTTGATTCCTAACTCAGTTGCTTCCCAGCCAGAGTTGCCTAAACCATCCATCCAAGGACCCCAAATCCTGCCACAGATTCCTCTTAAACCAGGACTCTTAACCAGACAGCAAACCTTGCTGCCATCAGAACCCCAAATCCAGAGGAAACCCTGCCCTTAGTACTTTGCCCATGACTAGAACCCCCCAGTCCTGACACTAACTTAATCTGTATCTAAGCCCCAAGGTCCAAGCTATGTCCTTCCCCACACTGGGGGCTCAAGGGGAGCCCAGCAGAGTTAGAACCCAATACCTGCAGCTCTCTTGAATCAGGACCCCCATGAACCCCGATCTACATAAATTCCTTGGGGAGGTACCCAGTAGAGGCCAGAGGCTCAGCAGCCTGTCTGTCCTTCCATCTACATCCTTCCCTCAAGCTGAGGACATGGCTGTCCTTGTCCCCATTCCCTACAATGTTTAGGATATGAGTACAGGATCAAAGCCCCTTGGACTCCATCATCTCCCCACCTGATGGAAATCAACACAAAAACACTTCAAGAAAATGAAGAGAGAGAGAAAAAAAAATCTCCGGTCTGCCCGAGGAATGTGAGCAGCCAGTATCCCAGAGACACTGCAGAGCACTGCAGGGCCTGGGTGCGATGGAAACAGCTCTGAGAACAGCTCAGCGTTCTCACGCTGCCCTCCCTGGGCTCAGTTTCCTAATCCGGAAAGCAGAGCCCCATTAGCTCCAGAGTTCTCTGTGCTTTTCCCTGGTGGACAGGAATGACTCTGCAAACCGCCGGTGTGGTGGCAAGGCCAAAACACTCTTGCTACTTTTCAAAATAGGTTAACTGTTTTCCGTGGCACACACATGTATTTTCTTACAGTCCTTGAAAGATGCTTTCTGATATTCTCGAGGCTTTATGTAGCATGAAGCTGTGTCTTGAGCCTCAGTCTATAGCTAACAAGTAATGCATGGGGGGGGGCTGAGAAACTGTCCCCCAACAAGGAATTTGAAAATTATGTGTCTTCCTAACTCTGGACCCCCTTGGTTCCTTTGTTTCCACTGGCGAGCAATAAATTCAAGCAAGCCGAAGGAGGAGAGAGAGGCTGGGTGACTTCACACTGATGTCACAATGCTAGGACTCAGCAGTCACTTAGCAACTGCTGGAGGCCTGACCCCTGTGCTGTGCTGACTGCCGGGCACAATAGAGATGATGCTGATCTGTCGCTAAGAGAAATTTGGGCCCCTGCCTATAAATAATTGGCTGACACATCTGCCCACCTCCAAGGTTGCAGAGGCAAGGGCAAGTGAGATCATGGCGGGAAAGTGTCTGGGTGGCCATGTCTAACCCAGCCAAGCAAATTCATGGGCAAGTGGTGCTCCTGCCAATCACTTATTTGTCTGTTGATAGTTAGTAGCCTTTGCCCCAGCCTAGTGTAATGACTGCTTATCTGCAAAGGGGATAGGCTAAGTATCACTTAGGAACCTCTGTGAGTGAAGAACCCCACCCCTTCTAGGTGTTTACAAAGTGGTGGTTAAAAAGTCAAGGTGTCTTAGGCTGGCTTCCACATTCAAGCCACAAATAGGACCCTAGTTTACAAGATTTGCTGGCCAGCATTCTCTATCTTCATCCTCCTCAGAGTCGGGTCATCAAATGATGCCCACAAGGCTGGCAGGAGTCTGCTTTGTCACATCCCTGTAGAGGGAGAGCCATGGAGGCTGCAGGGTCGGTCACCCTGGAGATTCAAGGATGTACCCCTCAGTACAGGCAGAGGCGCAACGAAATTGCCAAGAAACCAGAACATTGGTGGGTTCTTCTCACCTGGGAGGGGTGCGGGGATAGCCTGGGCACATCATTATTGCTTGTGAACGACCTAAGTCCTTCATAATCCCTAAGATGGAGTGTGTGTGTGTGTGTGTGTGTGTGTTTTAAAAGAGGCTAAACACTGCTACATGTCAAAAGACATTCCCTACCTAATGGCCCTTCAACAATCTTTTCCAGAGCCTGGGCTAATTGTTTTGTTTATTTATTTTTACATATTATTCAGATAGGATCTCATATCTCAAGGTAGTCTTGAACTCCTGACCCTCCTGCCTCTAGCTCCCAAATTCGGGATGACAGGTTGTGTGCCACCGAGCCTGGCTGGTTTATGAATGTGGGGTTAAATCCACAGCTCTTCTCATACTCATCTTACTCAAGATACCAGGCTGGGTCAGTAAAGAGCTCTGACGCTCAGGTCCAAATACAGTGAGCCTCAATATATGACTCTGATGTTACAATAGGCGTATATGGGGAGGGACAGTGTCTCCCCAACAGGGGCCATGCCTAGGTGACATCTTGGACTGTGAGAGCTAGCAGTAGCTGATGTGCCATGGTGGAGATCGCAGAAGCTGTGGTGTGTGGGGTAGAGAGGGTTAGCTACCTAGTTGGGAATGCCAGTTAAACACTTCCGTGGAAAAACCCTGGCGTGGGCTGTCTGTCATTTGCAAGATCGTTCACATCACTGTCATCTCTTTAGCCAGCTAATGGCAACGTTCCCTGGAGTCGGTGTTCAGTTGAAGGTACATAACTTGCTAAGTACACTGTCGGGCCTGTGATGTATAGCTCAGATTTAAGTAGTTCTATTTGTAGAGTTTGCCTCATAAAACGATTTCACTGACTCATGTATTTTTCCCCAACAGGACAAGCTGTAATTACAAAATTTTATAAATCATTGCCATTGTGTATTTTTTTTTCTTTTTCTTTTTGGGTCCAGCTTCGATCTGAGCTGAGCCAAATTAATTTTCTAAAGAGCATTAGCAGCAGCAGACGGGCTCCTGTGCAACCATCAAGTGAGAGATTTTCCCCCCTCTTTGCTCAAGATTTTAAAAGTATCTTTGTGTGATTCAAGGTCAGACACTGTCTCAACTGATACAGTGACTTCTCTTTAAGTCTTAATTTTGTTAAAAGGAAGACTTGTTCCCCATAGGGATTTTGATGGATGATGCCGCCCTGAAGTTCTACGATGTCATCCCTGGAGCAATTATCTCGCTATGTATCTGGCATTATGATGGTTGGACGGAACTGGTTTTGGCAGCCGTGGAAGGGGATCCCAGTAAGGTGGTTACACGTTCCTTTCGATATTAGGGGTTGAGGGGCCCCAGGCGTTAGCATGAGCATTTCAATAAAAGCCTCAGCGTAGGGAAGAAAGATGAGACTCCTGAATGGAGTGTTTGCAGCCGCTCTGGCCTTGCAAGTCCCCTGGGTTTACTTATTCACAGTTTATAAACCTGCTTACTCCACCCGCAGTGGAGCTCAGGTGGTACTTTTCCATCCACATCTTGGTCAAGTTGAAAATCAAATTTAATCCCTAGAACGAGGCTGTAGCTCAGTGCCCACAGGCTTGTGAGGGAAGGAAGAGCCTGTTTCCTGATGGCACCAGGTTCAAGGGGAGGTTGGGTGGTGGGAGAGGTTCTGGGGTACATCTGGGAAAGGGAACGTGGCGGTGACCTCTGTGTCACAGAACTCAGGCCCGAGGGACAGGAGCAAGATCTGTCTAACCCCAGCTGTAGTATGTCTTCTAGCTACTTCTCTACAACCCCAATTTCTGCTTCCTCAGTTTTCCCTCTTGCTGGCAATTTAGTCAGGGCCTCAGCTTCTCTGCTTCTGCCTGAGGGGTAACTGTCACCCTCTCTGCCCCTCTTCATACCACCCACTACCTGACCCTGGACATCTGGGGCACAGTCCTCGATGTGGTAGCCCATGGCCCTCCTCCCATCCCTGAAGACCCCCGTGTCTCTCCAAGATGGTTCCATGACGGGCTGTCTACCTGCCAGAAGAGTTCAGAAAGTTCCAGAAACTGACAGAGACAATGAGCACAAAAATGGGTTGGGAGCACAGAATCCATTACGGAGCTAGAGGACCTCCCTGTTATTGAGCTCCTTCTGGGGTGCTATGTTGTGTTGTTTTTCCAAAGGGCCACAAACATCTTCCTCTGGACACTAGCAAAGTTATCTTCTTCCTTAAAAAACACAGACAGGAAGGCCTTCCTGTGCCCCCCCATGCCCTGGGGGTGGCTGCCCTTCCTGAGTGTGTGCAGATCATTGAACAGAGTCCCCCCACTGTGCACCTTGGTTTGGATCAAGGAAATGTCATGCACACTGGGGTGGGCCATGCTCTAGAGACGACCCTGACCTATTTCTTTCACCTAGCTGTCATGTCTTGGCATCAGCGAGGACACCTTCTACCGAACTGCGAACTCACAGCACTTTAAGGGCGAGCAATGGAGGCAGTGGACCGCCCAGAGGGCGTTTGTGGCCTTATACATCTCCGCTCACAGAGGTCATGTGGACGCTGTGCAGTGTCTCCTAGAACTCGGTAATTCTGCAACAAGGATGGCCTGGTCTGGTGGGGAGCACAAAAAGATCTGTCTGTCCTGTTTCTTCAACAGTGGCTCCCTGATCGCTTCTCATGCACCAAACATGCCTCCCTATGGGCTCCTGAGGACATGCCTGCCAGAGGCCTGCACATCTCAGGGCCAGGTCTCTAGAGCATTCTGGTGTGGTAGGACCAAAATTATAGGACAGGTAGACACAGGGGTGTCCAGGGGTGCCTAGCTTGCTCTTTCCAAGGAGCCCATGGTCTGTCTTCATCCTTGTCTTACCTGAAGTAGATTCTGCAATGGTCCCAAAGAACCTTGCCCTGGGTATCACAAGGAGTGGCCATCACGCTGGCTGGAGGTCCTCTCAAGTAGGTCCTCAGAAAGATGCCCCCACGACCCCCGCCCCTCCCATCATATCTCCACTTACGGGTGACCATCTATTCATCTGTCTGTCTGTCCAAAGCTGTAGTCATCACTGTGCCTGGACAGATGTCAGGGGATCTTTCATTCTCCCTGTTTGGGGGAATGGTACCTCTCATTGAGAAAGAACCCACTAAAAAACAGTACACAGAAGCCCAGAGCCATGGCTTCCTTGGGACAAGGCAGCCACAGCAGGTGCCTCTGGCTTTTAGAGCTGATGCCTCCATGCAGAACCCTTCATTTTCATCTGCAGCCCTGCTCAATCCTGGCGATTCACACCCCGCTTGTACCAGGCAGGGGTGGGAGACACCTCAACTTTCCAGGGAAGAATGCTGGTACGTCACATGTCTAATACAGAGCTCGGAGATGGCTGGGTGATAACACCATGCGTGTTCTCTGCCATCCCACGCTGCTTTTCCGCACCTCTCTTATACAATGAAAGATGGGCTTTCACAGCCCAGCAGTCCTTTAAGCTCATAAAAAGTCATCTTCGCTCTGATGGAGCTGTGATGTATTTGAAGGCACCCGTTAAAAAATGGCGGCCGGCTGTGCAAAGTTTTTCATCCTCTGCAGCCACCGCAGGGGGGAGGTGCGAGGTCTTGCCTGCATTCTGGAAACCTACTTAAGCTTTAGCCTCACCAGCAGCCGTGGCTCAATTGGACTGCGGTGGCAGCCACAGTGCCAGCTGGGCCAGCTGGGTTGGATTGAATTGCCTTGTCTTCTGTATCATGATTTTTGTTACCCAGAATCTGATTCAACTCCTCAAGCTCATGCTAGGCCCTCGTCATTAGCCAGCCTGTCTTCAGGAAGCAGTGAGGACCCCAGATCCGTCCGTGCTTAGGCTGCTAACCCCGTCGCCTCCCCATCACACCTCTAGCTGTGTGGGGAGGGTGAAGCCAGCAGTGCTTAAACCATGTGTTTTTCCTCCTGGGTCTTAGGCAGGAAAGCCAACCACTGATTAAAAATGATGAATCCCATAGCCAGTCACCTATGGGTTGCATTAAACACTGTGCCTACTGGACTTTTATGGGGTGGGGTAAGGGTCGTTGTAGGGAGGAAGAGTTAAGGAAGGTACCGAAACCCTAAGAAGCAACCTACCCCCCCAAACACACACACACACACACACACACACCAAAAAAAAAAAAAAAAAAAACCAAAACCCCAACGACATAAAAAAAAAAAAAAAGTGTAATCTATAACAGGAATGGTATGTGCAAAGGGCCTGGGGCAGAGCTCAGAGTGTTGTATTTAAGGGTAAAGACAGGAAGTACATGGAGCTGGAGCTTTGGAAACAAAGGAGCTCAGTAGGAAGGAAGAGGGCAGGTTGGGGATAGCGTTGGAACAGCTAAGCAGTGTAGTCAGTCAGGCAAAGACATCAAAGAGTGCTCCATAGGCAGCAAGATTTGGTGACAGGCTTGGAACAGGAGACTGGAATGGAGCCCCATGGGATAGGGCTGGGTGGGAAGGGTGATGGACTAAGGGAAGTCACCATGACCCTGGGAGCAGTATTGACTCCTGTCATTGTCATAGTCCTGGCCCCCTTCAGGGTAAGATTGTGGGGCTCCTGCCTGGGAGAGCAGCCCACTCCAACATGTCTTTTTTTTTTTTTTTTTTTTTTTTTTTTTATCTCACAGGAGCAAACTGCTTGGGCAAATCACCCCTGGGCAGAACACCCTTGCATGTGGTTGCAGCCATGGGCAGGATAGACTGCATCCGGCCTTTACTAGAACATGGAGCCTCCATCCACGACAGAGACTCAAAGGGGGAAACACCCGTCACCATTGCGCGGCGCCTGAAGCGCAGGAATTTCGAGCGCAAGATGTTTCTCCACTACTGGATGATCAAGTCTGGGACCAACGATCCTGACGACTTGGTAGTGAGGGAGGCTCCGGAGAAAACCAGCTCTGAGGCTATGTCCACGAAGAGCTCAATATTACTCTCCTGAGCACGTTCGCCCATCACCCTGCTCTGGGGCGACCCTGCAGCTTCCACAGTGGCCCCTGTGGCACTCATTAGGCAACAAAGGAAGAGACAGCTCTGAATCAGTCACCAAATTGGCTGTCCTCTTACCAGTGTCTCTGGGAGGGTGTAATGGAGCAGGCGAGCTCGCCGCTTTTGTAATCCATTCTGTCCCCACCAGGCCGACAATGCCAGCCTTTAATTTTAAGCTCTTTGTACGTGGCACCCAATCATACTGGTTGGGGTGATGGTAGCCAATTATCTCTCCCTTCTGAGGCCATCTAATGCACCAGCATAATAGGAGTAATAGCAGGAATGATAATAGCACCCCTGTTATCCAGCAGAACGAGCACTGGCCGACGTCAGGAGGTCGTGTGCAGCATAGGTTATGGATTTGTTTGTCAAACCTAGGCGGCTGACCATTTCTGTAGCCAGGAATGACATGGTTTTGGCTGAGCCAGCTCCGAGGGGCCTGCTGCTTCCGCGTGGGGCAGAAGGGAGGCTGGGAGTGGGGTTTGAGAGCCTCCAAACATGGTCTACCAAGGGGCTGTTTTCTTATCCTTGTGGCAAGGACAGGGGTGGAGGGAACAACACAGGAGGGAGACAGAAAGGACAGAGCTGGGCTGGTGACTTCTCCCTGCGGTCCCAACCCAGGGGTCCCCCAGGCCTCCATGCTCCTTCCCACTTTCCCAAGCACCTCCTTTCCCTGGGAGCTAACTAGCTCAGAGTTCCTGTCGTTGGATCCAGGCAACTCACAGCCTTAGACTAAACCATAGAGCCTACAGTGGGGATGAGTAAACCAACAGACTACCAGCAAAGAAGGCAAAAGTGAGGCTAAATGCCCGAGAGAGGGCATAGGGACCCAGCTCCAACAGAAAGGCAAGGCAGAAGCTGCTGGATTGTTCCAGAGCTAAAACCCAGCTCTTCATGATAGTTTAACTTCTGGTTTTAAAATATTGCCTTGAAATCCCGAAGAAGTAGGAACATGTGAACGCATGCTTGCTGCTCAACTGGTGACTGGGAAAGTGCTAGAAAGAACCTGAACCCCATTAAAATGATCTCTAATTCTACAGCTGCAGTCTGGGGACAGTCACAGGCCTTGTAGGGACACATAATGCCCACCTTGTTACTCCTGGTGGGCCATATGTTTCTCTGAATCCCTGAGCCACAGCACAAGTTCTGGAACCCGTGTATATGTCAAGGGTCTCTTGGCCACTCATCAAGTTGTTCTGGGTGAAAGCAGATGACAGTGCCGTTGCACCCTGGCTGCCCTTCTTTGCAATGTCCCAACAACTAGGCCTTACTTTAAAATTAACGGCCTGTGTTTCCTGGTGTCACAACAAGGAAGTCCTTAGTTGACAATGGTCTTACCCGCCAATGTGGCTGTGCCTGGACTCAGCCATCTGTTTGACAAATAAGAGTCAGAAAAGCTCATCTCAGCATCAAGAATGTCAAACTGAGATCTTATTTTTGGCAGGCATGCTCCAAAGTCAATAGGCAGATATTAAACAGCCCCCACCATTTGGGTTGGGTCACTTAGCTAATGAAGTGCATGGAGGGGGTGACTTATGGGTACCCCTTTTAACTTAACAAGTGGAGTCCCTCCAAGTATCGTGTTTGCCAGGAGCTTGCTAAGCAGTCTTTGTTATTGGAAGAGCCCATGGCCTGGCATGAGGACCCACACTTTTGGGGACAAGCACTCCATTTACCCCAATTCAATTAGATACTTGGCTAGACATCTGTTGGCATCAAACTCTCTGTGGTGACATTTTCTTCAGTCTGAGGTAGTGTCACTTGGACACTGTCCTGGGTTCTGAGGACACTTCATTAGAGACAATCTCCATGACTTGCATTGGGTTTTAGGGTACAGTTTATGTGTGGAGGGCTTGCCTAACATGCACAAGACCCTGGATTCGGTTCTTAGCACTGCAAACACACACACACACACACACACACACACACACACACACACACACACACCTGCAAGTCACATGGAAACAACAGCACATTGTAGGCTGTATGGGTGGGGCATGTCAACACCTATTCCACCTGATCTGTGGTTGCTCAACAGAATGGTACATTTGGAGTTAATGCTTTCCGTGATTATTTTGAAGAGTGTTTTGTTCATGATCAGGAGCTAACAAAGGGAAATCAAGGGAAGGTTTATCTTCAGTGTTCCTACAGGAGCTAAAAAAAAAAAAAAACCTTACTGGCTCATACCCTGGGGCAGGTCTAGAATGCTGAGTTAACCATGGTCTGCCACATCCTGGGGACACTTTGTGTGTGGAGAGGGACATTGGTTCCCCTACATCTGTGACCTCATGGGATCGGCCTTCCTGGGCTCAAGGTTCTGAGTGGGTCTTCACTTCTCTGAGCCAAGGGTGTACTGTAGAGGACAGAGGAGAACCATTCCTGTTCCAAGGCTGCTAGAACCATTGAGGAACACTCAATAATTCATTTGAGACCTTTGCCTGGGAGCCTTGCTGATGCACTAGGGTTAGGGCTAGGGTTAGGGTTAGGGCTAGGGCTAGGGCTAGGGTTAGGGTTAGGGTTAGGGTTAGGGTTAGGGTTAGGGTTAGGGTTAGGGTTAGGGGTAGGGCTAGGGTTAGGGCTAGGGTTAGGGTTAGGGTTAGGGCTAGGGTTAGGGTTAGGGTTAGGGTTAGGGTTAGGGCTAGGGTTAGGGCTAGGGCTAGGGTTAGGGCTAGGGTTAAGAGAAATGGAAGGATGTTCACTTGGTGTCTTTTCTGGGCTCTCTTTGGGCCGGCCCCCAAAATTTTTTGGCCCCCGGGCCCGGGGCCTTGGGGGCCTGGGGGGGGGGGTGGGGGGGGTTGTTTGTGGGGGAAAAAAAAAACAAAAAAACCCTCCGGCTTTTTTCCCCCTTGGGCCGGTGGGAGGAGCGCTGGAAAGTCCGCCCCACAGGAGGCATCACCAAAAATGGGGGGGGCTCGGGCCGCCCTTTTTCCGTTGTGTTTTGGGGGGGGGGTCCCAAAGGGTGAGGGGGGTGTACTCTCTCTCCTCCTCCTCGCTGAGTGAGTCTCCCATCAGTCCTGCAGAGGTCACTGGATTTGGCCTCTGTCATGGAAATTATTGCAGTGGGAAGTTTAAAGACAGGGATACAAGCTATAGGTTAACGAGAGTAGCCTGTACGGCTTACTCGGGACTGAGATGGTGGGTCTAATCTCGTTAGTCCCCATCCCAAGTGTCATCACCAGAGTAGAGCTGTTCCTATGGGCTTGAGTCCCTTGACCTCCCAGGAGCCTGTATCAAACATCTGGATGTTTCCTCTATGCTTACTAGCCCAGGGTTTCTAGAGAGTGGGAAAGGGCCCCTCTTGCCCCTGCCTGGGCTTATAATGAGTACTGGGTGAGCAGGTTAAGTCCATTCCAGTCTCTCTACAGTGTGGACCTAGCGAGCCTTACTCCGTGTTAGCCTACATGGAGCTCTTAAGCCTGTCTGGCCTCTACTCGAGACCCAAGTAGAGCAGACTTTCACAGGCAATGGTGTTCTGCCAACTGTGACATTGCCTTGCCTTCTGCATGCCATGGGCTAAAATTGTGGTTTCCCCCCCCCACACCCACCATGTGTGTACACGTGTAGATGTGAGCATTTGGGGTTATACTCAAGCCTCTGTGTATGGTTCCTTAGGTACCATATACCTTTTAATTTATTTTTATTTATTTTACATTTATTTTTTTGAGATAAGGTCTCTAGCTGGCCTGGAACTCACCAAATAGAGCCAGGCCAGCTGCCATTCCTAAGAATCTGCTTGGCTCTGTCTCCTTACCAATGGATTGCAAGTGCTTTGCTACCATCATGATGGATTCCCCCCCCCCAAAAAAATTTTTTTTATGTGTGTGGTGTTTTGCCTTCATGTAATGTCTGTGTGCCACATGTGTGTGTCTGGTGCCTGTAGAGGCCAGATGAGTGTGTTGGATCCCCTGAGACTGGAGTTACAGATGGTTGTGAGCCACCATATGGGTGTTGGAAACTGAGCTTGGGCCCTCTGCTAGAACCGCCAGTGCACTTACCCCTGAGCTATGTCTCCAGGCCCGATGCTGGAGTCCTTCATGTGCTTTCTGGGGCTCAAACCCAGGCCTTCATGCTTGCACAATAAACACTCCTGATGGAGCCGTCACCCAGCCCTTCTCATCAGCTGTGTGTGGGCAGAACCAATGGCCACCTCCCTCCACCCGGCGTGACGTCCACAGGTCTTGTCCTCCTGCACAACCAGTCACACTGGTGGAAGAAACAGCCCAAGAGAGTCGCCTGCTATACCGACCCCTTGATTGGGTTGGTTTTGTGGCCTGGTAAATGTGGTTTACAGATTCCTCTGCCCCCAGATGTGTGGCAATAGACCTACCAGAGGCAGTTCCTGGGGGCTCAGCTGCCTCATGTGGGCCATCTGGGGTAATAAAAGCTGCCCTGTCACCACCAGAGAGATGGAATGCCAGGCAAGGAGCAGACACTTGAAAAATGGCAGGCATTATTTGTATTATTATACCACCAACACTTAATTTGCTTAAAATGTTTGCTCGCTGAGAATCGATCCCCTCCCGGATTCCAGAGGGACTCATAAATTCTCAGCAAACCTTATACAATAAGAGTCTCCATCCAGAACTAATAATTCCCAAAGTGGGAGATTAATAATTTCCTGTAAACTTGCTGGTCTGGACATTAGGAGCAAGGATTTCTCAGCAACACATAGAGCGCCCCCAGGCCAGAGCCACTGCAGGGGAACAGCAGGCTCTCAGGCAGAGGAAAATTCCAGTCTCCAGGCCCTGCCTCCGCAGTGCGCATTGAATACAGAGGCAGCCAGCAGAGGGCACAGAAACCCATTAACATTTAGCAAAACACCGGGGTTTGTGTTCTTCCGAAATGTCAGGGATGCTGCTGTCTGCGTCACTTGAAAATTCAAGAGTGGGGCTCATCTTGGGGGGCTCGAGGGTGGCGTTTCTGCCAGAGCTCTGGAAATGTCTGCAAAATAAG